CCGCAACGCTCAGACTTTGAATGAACTTTGGTGACCCCTGCAACCGCTGGTACTCACATGATGACAGGTTAACTGACCAGTCACGTTGGCAACCCGGACAAGTAGAGCTGTGCCCATTCAAATATACTATTCGACATTCATGATTTTTGCACTATTCAATCACAGCTATTCCAAGCGTGGCAGAGCCATTCGAATGCCATGTGATTTTTAAAAATAGATAATGGATTTTTGTCAAATTTTTCTCAAACATTGAAAAATTTGGAGCACATTATTTCATTATATATATCTAAAATCATTAAGATAAATATACAGAAATACTCTTTATTTGAGGGTTACAAGACAGAGTGATAAGAGGAGCCTTCAATAGTTATAAAACAATCCTTTAGAGAACAGCTCTTACTATTCAATATTCACTCATCACACTATGGACAGCTCAAGCAAGGGCACTTGACTCTTGAAGTGCAGCGAATGTTTTTTTCCATGAAGTTAGCAGTCGTGATGAGCTCCCCTAATCCTACTTGAAATTCGAAGTGCAATGAACGATGACGTGATGTCAACACGTTGCACTGTCTGCGCGCAAGCCACTACAGCACACGCATGCTCAGTGACTAGCGTCAGTCAGATCTGGACTATCACAATATAAGAAAAAAAAATTGGCGGTGCTTGGAACTGCAGAAGTTAGATCTGGGCTTATCACATATAAATAAGAAAGTACGATTCGACAGCGCTTCGAATTGCGGAAGTTAGATCAGGGCTTCTCACATATAAGAAAAAATGATTCAGCGGCGCCGAAGTTAGATCTGGGCTTATCTTATATGTGTCACGACACAGTAGAATCAGGCGCTCGTCAATTTTTGGGCGTTTAGAGTTATTGGTATCATCTTAAAGGTTGTTCATTTGCCTTGCTTTCGATGTAAAAATATTAATTCATCTTGAATAGAACTAGAGATATTTGCAATTGAAAGAGGTGGGATCACTTGGTTTCATAAGTAAAATTTTAAAAATTGGCGAGAAAAGTTTGGTGACTTCCATAGCGTAATAGTCCTCTGTAATTGCAAATTTACATTTTTCGTGCCTTTAATCAACGTTTTTCAAAAAAATCCACAAATAAAAGTGCATTAGAATGAACATGCAAGGTATTGAGCCTAAAATTCGAGGAAAAAAAGTCCAAACTGGCAGAAAAATGCCATTTTCTCGGATTTCATTATTTTGACGAGCACCTGATTTCACCATGATGCTTCACATATAAGGCAAAAAAAAAGCGCTTGACGGCGCAGTGAATAGCGGAAGTTAGATCTGGGCTTATGACATATAAGAAAATATGATTCGACGGAGCTTTGAATAGTGGAAGTTAGGTCTGGTCTTATCACATATATAAGAAAAAACCATTCGACAGCGATGCCGAATGTAGAATAGCTGGACTTTTAGGTCTGGGTTTATGCTTATCATATCTAAGAAAAAAACATTTGACAGAGGTATTCGAATGTCATGAATAGTGAGCTCACGCTTCGAAGATTTTTTGTTTCCTCAAAATCACACAGCACTACCGAGAAGCTGAAAACAAGACGTTTGATTTTCTTTTCTTTCTTTTTTCTACAAATGACTGCTGTCACAAATATTGATTTATTTTAATGGTGACACTGCGTTTATAATTCACAACCTGCATGTCACAAATGTTTCATTATCAGACCGAGAAAAGCCGAACGAATAACTCAATCGCGATCGGCAAAAATGAACTTACTGACCCTATCAGATTTGGTTTTATTTATTTCCATGGGTTATTCCCAGGACAATTTACAGATTTCCTCAAATTCCCGGGCATTCCGGGTCTCAGTGATTTTTTTCAAATTCCCAGGGCCTGGTGATGACCCTGTCAAGAGCTATAAGTGACAGGGCAGTTTCTTCAGACTGCACCGAATCTGTGGAGTCAGTCTTGATTGATTGATCAAATTGAAGTCAAGAACTACAAATCAGGCTTTCTGGATGCATTGATGTAAGCTAAATTGCTGTTAAATGGGCACTGCTAGTAACTGACCACAACAATGCCTTTTTTTCAATGGAGTGGACTTTAAGCAAACGTCGCCGATCACAAGAAGTCCCTTTTAAATAATTAGGGAATAACCATGCCGCCACCCCCTCCCTGGGTCCCCTTTGTTGTTTTCTTTATGTTGAGACATTTACACTTGATATTAATTCATTACTTCAACACATGATCCTATAATCTAATAAAAATATGATAAGAAAGCTTTGTAATGACCAGGGACAAGTAACCAGTCAAATTTTCACTTTGGGACATTTTGAGAGATTAAATTCTTCGAACCACCACCGCTCTCAAACTTTGCTGCCTATCGAGATCATCTTTGTTGTGAACATGTGATTCAAGTCAGTGCATCACGGGAGCTTGGTTTACGTTTGAAAAATGAAATAAGAGCCGAGTTATCTACTTTATAAGGAAAGTGGCCGCACAGTTTGGCCAGCCGGCCGCAAATAGTGCCTTTACTCCAGATGATTTTTGTTGTTGTAGTATTTGGGTGTTTTTTTTGGTAAGTGTTTTACGGCGCTCGCAACTGCATAAAAGGTCAAATTAGCGCGCGGGACACAATAACCCTATCCGTACGCCTGGGGTCATTTTGTACCCCCGGGGTTGTAATCTTCGATTCACCTTTAAGAATACTTTTATTACGAAGAGATCTCTTTGAAACTTTCAGTATTTCTCAAAAAATTATTTTGACAGACTGCTATGCAAAACGTACGGATCGGATCAATGAGTAAATTTCCTGTTTGGAAAGTGGCGGCACAGAGTTCCCCATGTTGTATGCAGAGCTGTTAAAGTACTTTTTAAAAAGTACTTAAGTACAATCTAAAAATGTACTTAAGTACAGTAAAAGTACTTTCCTGTAAAATGTACTTTCAGAGTACAAGTACACCAACAAGTACTTTTTAAAAAAGTACTTGAGTACATTTTGACTACTTTCTGCTAATATGCTAAAACATTTCAGCGCTTATGCAAAACATCATATTAAATAACATATCCAGTATATTTGACAAATTAGGCTATTTATTACTAAAAATGTAAACAGTATACAAAGCATTTGAATATACAATGTATGCACTGAACGAAGGTGGAAATGGTCCGTGAAATTGAAAAAAACCCCAAACCAAACAAACAGACGCAACTAGTGGGTAAGTGATATTATGAAAGGAACTTGTTTGAGCAAGACAATGTGATCAAATGTAAGTCAGTCCTAGAGGTGGGAAAGTTCTACAGAAAAAGTATCCAGCATAGAAATGAAAAAGTGCATTGAATTCTTCATTAACAAATCCTCAAGGAATCAATGTAGCCTTCAGCAAAAACCACCCAAAAAAGTTTAAATTAGGCAGCCTAAAAAATTAAGATATACATTGAGAACACAGTTTCAGATTCAATTGATTATAGTGGTAAGACAGATTTTGGTCACACTACTAGTAGTCCACGGCGCCCACGGCAACCCAAAATACAATTGTTTCCTAGAGTCTAGTAAGTGTAGTGTAACCAAAGATTCTCTACTACAGTAGTCTCCGCCTAAGATCCCACTGCTCGGAAGCAAAAAAAAGATGGGATCTTAGCCGACGAAGCCAAGGAAGAATCTACAGTGACCCATGAACTGATGTGACGCCTGGGTGGATTTATGACATATGGCATGGCGAGCAAAGAGTGGTCAACCTTGATGACCAATCACAGTGGCATGAGGCATGCCATAAATAATATACACACTCATTAGCCTATCGTGAGTCTTGAGATCTTTATCTACGTTTATCCAGTTGCCCCTCCCCTTCACCTATCCAACAATTCTAGCTTTCCATCTCTGGGGTTGAGTCCCCCCCCCCCACACGCACACCGCCTTTACTTTGTCGTTAAACACCATTACGTTGTGGCCACACCTATTACTATTAATATTCAGGCTGTCTCGCAAATTCGGGAATAGAGAAAAACTGCTTTCAATGGTCAGGGAAGAGTTCGCAGTTTGATGTGATCCCGGCCTGGAGCGAACTTGTAGGCCCTACCCACCCAGTGAGTGATGTAAGTTTAGGTGGTCAGCTCAAATGCGAGTGCGATGTTTGGGGAAAAGAAACGCATCGGTCAGTTCAAACCTCGATGTGATCCCATATGGAGCTAACACTGTACCGTTTCATGGAGTTTTACAACACTTCTGATCACATTCACGATAGTGGCTGATCTTTGACGCGACGGGCCGTTCTTTGATCTCAACTTTTAACTCTTGGTTGATCGGCTGTGTCCGTCCGGGTGTTTGTTCCGTAAATTATGATCAGAAGTGCCAGCACTTACTTTTTCATTAAGCTTCAAAAGTACTCAAAATGTACTTTAAAAATACTCAAAAGTACTTTATAAAAAGTATCGGAGTACAGTAAAAGTACTGGTTTCAAAAATGTACAGGAGTACAGTAAAAGTACCGAAAATTGTAACGTAAGTACAAGTACCGGAGTACTTGTACTCCGTTACTACCAGCTCTGGTTGTATGGACACGATAGTAAAATACAACGTACGGATAGGGTTAAATATTTTCAGTTGGTAGGAAATTTTGATTTTTGCCCGGGTGGTGACAAAGTCTACTCTTACCGATTTTAGACCACCAAGGGATCTTTAATGTGCGCAACTTACACATGGGACCTCCGAGATTTTTCGCTCTTGTCCGAGAAGGTAAGGCGTAGATCTTTCCTACTGGGAGATCAGGGGTGTGGCTAAAAGACAGCAGTAAGAAGGAGCCAAAGAATAGCAGAAGAAAGACTGCAGAAAGAGTCAGGAGCCCAGAGGAGGGGGCAAAGGAGGTGAGGGGGTGGGGACAGAAAGTGGAGACGAAAGTAGGAAGCAGAACATTGCTAGAGAACAGGAAAGGAAAGGATGTGAAAGGAGAAAATTTTAGAGAAGAAAATGTTTGATAGGAAATGAGGCGTAAAACAACACCCAAGTGAAGACTAACATTCGTCTTGAACACACTCACCTGAGCCACAGACAACAAACAAGAACAAAGCCATCAATGCTGGGCCAACAGGAGACTTCTCTTCAGAATTTTTCTGTAACAAAAACAAACAAGAAACAGGCAGTAGTTATAGTCCAGGGATGCGACAGGGGTTAAATTGTGACAATTAATGTAATGTCACGACGCTGTGGAATAAGGCGCTCGTCAATTTTTGGGCATGTGGAGTTATTGAATTCATCTAAAAACTTATTTATTAGCCTTGCTGTCAATATAAAGAAGTACCCATCTATCTTGAATAGAAGTCAATATGCTTGCCATTGAAGGAGGTGGGGTCCCCTGGTTTCAGTGGTAAAACTAGTGAGAAAATGGGCACCGAAATTTGGAAACTTCAGTAGCTTGAAAGTCCTGGAAAACTGAAAGATAACATGTTTTGTGGCTTTAATAAACATCTTTCAGTAAAAAATTCACATGGAAATATGTTTTTATTTGAACATGCAAGGTGTTGAGCCTCCCGTGGCTATTCGGACTCAAAACCCCAATGCACGTGCGCAATCAACAGGTGTACCGAATGTGAAGCAGTATCCCTAACCCTACCCCTAATTACCCTAAACCTACTCCTAACCCTAATTAACCCTCCTACCCCTACCCTGAATTAACCCTACCCCTAACTCTTAAATCTCAATTCTACCCAGTTTCATAGTGGTCGCTCGTTACAGCTTTAATAATAATAATATGTATTATGGGAGGACTAGTCTAGATAAGAATTTGGATAGAAACCGTTGAAAACCTGGCAAACCAGCGCTCGCAAACAGCGGAAGCAAATAAAGTCTGCAGGGTTAACAATGGCTGCGCTTAGCTAGACGAAAGTCTACTAATCCCCGACTCAGATCTTCAGAACTTTGAAAGGGGTTTAAAAATGCGTAAACTGCCATAATTTTGTTATGACCAAATGGTATAACAGTGGCTTTCGGTCTTTCATCATGATTTTGATGGCCATTGAGTATAATCTAAATTTTACAGTGGTCGCTCGTTACGGAAGTCCTCCCGTTGTGACTGTCACATGTCACATTGCCTTTAAAAAAGCCAGCATTGTTGGGTTCAAGAAAGAGGCCCTCCTCTACTCTACTTCTGAGAGTGAAAAATCATTATAAGTAGTCGAACTTGCCTTAACGGAAACCTGTCTTGGCGGAATCTCCCCGCCCCCCCCTTGATATATTCCTCTTTAATTACCTGTATAAAATGGAAACCTGTTCAACGCAGAAACGGAAAGAAAAATCCCCTCCCTTCCAAGGATTTCCCCTGTCTAAGACAGAAAATTCTTTGCCCGCTCAACACTGATTTGAAACAAAACTCGCAAGTTTGGTTCCGACGGCTCTAAACTTAACGCTATGGCCACATCCCTGGGCGAGGAAGGGGAAAAGGGGTGCAATTTGGGGGTAGATGTTACCCCATCATGTGAGCCCTGAGCGATGTAGATGGTCAGTGTAGTGTGAGTGTGAAATCTCACGACTACCCGTGAGAGGGCTCGATTTGCGAGCCACTACGGAAGCCATCTTGGGTAGCCAGAAGCCAGAGGTGTGAAATAAGATTGACCAATGCCAGCCGAGAAAAAGAGTTCCTCGAATTGTTGTTACATAGCAATGACCACAAAAAACCTTTTTTTGCCAGAAAGTGTTTGCAAATAGGTGCATTTTGTAGCTCTGTCTCCACAGAGCATGGAACTTTTTGAATTTTTGAAATCCATCAATAAACAAAAAAGTTACGAATTTTTTAATCAATTAATTTTTGGAACACTTTTATATAATGAAAATTTTACCCCAAAATATGGGACGTTCTTTGGTGAGTTTTGAGACAAAATTAGTCATAACTCGCTAATTTCTCGGAGTATTTAAATAAAACTTGGCAACCCAGTACATTTTCTAGTGCAGAATCTAGTCCTGCTTTCAGATTTTTCATATCCTACTTTTTGAGTTATGAAGACGTTTAAAGGTAAAAATGTGGCGGTTTTCGGTGCGTTTTTAGACAATATTTGTTTAGGCTCGCCTATTTCTTGGAGTGTATGTAAATGAAACTTGCCAGTCTAGTACAGTTTTTGATGCAGAATCTAGTCACGCTGTCATATTTTTAATATCTATCATACTTTTTGTGTTGTAAAGACATTAACAGGTAAAAAAGAGGCGTTCTTTACAGATTTACAAAGATTATCAGTCCTATCTTCTCCCAAAGTCATGATATTTGAATGAAACTTGGCAACATAAAAGGTTCCTCTTTGCCAAGCAATGCTTTGGATCAATTTATCACAAAAATGTAAGTAGAGAACTGGATTTATTAGTATTAGTCTAATAAATCCAGTTCTCTACTAGTAAAAGCATGCATACTTTGTTAGAGAAAATAAGATCGTGTCTGTGTATATTGTATATCCATTGTTCGACAGTGTCCTATTGTGTGGTAGATTAAGATGCGTTTAGATAATATAGTTTACAAGTCATGGGAATATTTCGCATGTGTAGGCTACAACTCATACTATAAATGTAACATATTTACACCCCCCTTTCTCTCTCTCTCTCACGCACACACACATGCACGCGCGCGCACTCACGCACGTACGCGTGAACGATGTTACAATGTATAAACGGGACTATCTTCCCAGACTGGACTAAATAAGTACCGTACTCTTTAATAACAATCTTAATGCCTCACTTTTCCAAACAGAGCACACTGGACGAGTTCAAGTGTAAGCTTTCCCCAGAGGGGGGAAAGGCTTACATTTATAACGCAAACACAATGCCATACCACTTCTCAATATGTTTGCTTTTCTGTTTCTATTCTTCTGTCATTCAATCAAGCAAATAAAAGTGACTACATCTATTGTATTGTGACTAAAATGCTAGTTATCAAGGACCCCGTTTAGTTTTCAAGTATTCTTACCCCCCTTTCCGATTCACATAAGCGGGGCCTCGTTCGTAGCGCCCGATGGCTGATGACGTCACTCAGACTGGAAACTTCCCAGCCGCCCGCCGTTCACCCAGTACGCGCAAATGGCAATGCCGCTTTTTCCCTTAGATACTCCCACATTTTTAAAGATTACGCCAAACCGCTAAACACAGAAGCATGAAATTTTACGGGAATAAAGAAAAATGGTGTACAACGTATCAGTCAGTTTGACAAATCACAGCTCCGAAAAATCTTCAAAGCGCACCACATCAACCACTTTCGCAAACGTTTTCGACTGCTTCTAGGATGGGTACAATGTTGTCAAACTGCATACTACGAGATTGACCTCTTTTCTGATTGGCTGCCAAGTTTCATTCATATCCATTCACGAGAAGCGGCGTGAGAGCGAGTTGAAGACAACAATCTTTGCGTTAGTTCGTCCCACGAAACACCCCCGCGGCGGGGGCCAAAAATCGGCAGAACAAAATGCGCTCGGTCAGCCGACTCGGTGGGCATTGCTATGTTACATGATGGCAGTGAGGGGTGGCATTGGTGGGTGGGGCTAAGGGTGGAAGCAAAGGAGATGCTCAAACGTTCCTGTTTTAATAGGTCAAACAGTGGTCCTATGAAAGGCAAGAACTGGTGGTAATTGAAGTAAGACTGACGCATGTCATTATCAGAGAGGATAGCAGCTGAGAGGTGTGAAGTTTTGACCACTGCTTGCCGATCGGAACAAGCGATCCTTGATCCCACAGGCTGGGCCTTTGACCCCCCAACCTCCATGTCCCGCTAAATTCCCCTGTCTAAGACAGAATTTTTTTCTGGCTCCCTTGCGATTCCGTCTTAGAGGTTAGACTGTATTATAAAATAAAACCATACTGTCCATACTTTCACTTCAGACTTTGCCGAAACCGAAGAAGCAACAATGCTTTCAACTCGAACTTTCGACAATACAATATTTCAGTAAGAATAAAAGCCAAAAGTTTTGAAATTTGGGTAGAGGAAACGCCCATAAGCAAGTACATCAAGCTCGATTGTAGATCTACTTTGAAATAAAAGCAACAATATGTTAGCGTGTTACTGTAACTTAAGTGACAAAAACAATCTTGGTAGAGAGTCACTAACTAAAGACGAAGGGTAGGTATGTATGAGTATTTGGAAAAGATTTAAAACTGAAGAGATCTTACCAATGTTTTGGGGACATTTCCTCGCGTAGTAATGTTTTTGCTGTGCTTTTCACTAGCAATCCTCATTCGCTGTTTGTTTGCCATTGTGTTTGGGTTTCTTTCGGCGTCGAGGTCTTCCTCAGATCTTCGCCTGAAATCACACGTAGGAGAGAGAGAGGCAAGAGGCGACGACACCGGAAATTCACTTCCCGACCTCATGACCTTTGACACCGTTTGCCCGTAGCGTATTTATACGCACACGATATTTCTCTGTTGTTTCATTTTCAAGTGATTTAAAAACCAATAGAACAAAACACTAAACTACAATGGTTTTTAAAAAATAGGAATTTACTCAAAAGAATGCCAAGATATATTCAGCGTTGTTTTTGTTTAAGAACTATCTGACAGCCCAGTGACCGAGATATACGTGTCATATTCAAAACCTGAAACTGAATCGGAGGAAGCCCCAGGAAAGAAACAAACCTGAGTTTAAGGGAGCGTGTGTGCAAAAATAGAATGAATCTAACACAATGTGTATTCTAATTATTTTTAAACGGGCGTGTGTGCATGTTGTATAATAATGATAATAATAATATTAATAACAATAATAATAATAATAATAATAATAACAATACTACTACTACTACTACTACTACAACTACAACTACAACTACTACTACTACTACTACTACTACTACTACTACTACTACTACTACTACTACTACTACTACTACTACTACTACTATACTACTACTACTACTACTACTACTACTACTACTACTACTACTACTACTACTACTACTACTACTACTACTACTACTACTACTAACTACTACTACTACCAATGTGTCGAGGTGTTTTTTTTTACTCTCTACTTTTTTTTTTGGGGGGGTGGTAAGCATTGGAATGAGATTTAATGATATTATGTGTATGTGTGTGTGTGGGGGGGGGGGGGGGGCGTCAACCTGAGTGTGTGTGTATGTGTGTGTGTGTGTGTGTGTGTGTGTGTGTGTGTGTGAGTGAGAGAGAGAGAGAGAGAGAGAGAGAGAGACGAGAGAGAGAGAGAGAGAGAGAGAGAGAGAGAGAGAGAGATCGTGACTGTGTGTGTGTGTGTGTGTGTGTGTGTGTGTGTGTGTGTGTGTGTGTGTGTGTGTAATAATATGTGTGTGTGTGTGTGTGTGTGTGTGTGTGTGTGTGTGTGTTTTGGTGCACGCGTGTGTGCTTGCGAGCATGCACATAGTGGCAGATATTCTATAAGCCGTCAATCAAAAAAGAAAACGGCTTTTTGGAACTAACATTTAATTTGATAAAATGCATCTAGGGCCTACGTATTGCGAAGTTTGACAGTGTACATGTCAGTATAGGGTCAGATTAAAATGGTTCGCATCCGAACATGAATACCATAAATGCATTGTTTTCTCTAATGATTTCAATTAAGTGTAGGTGACAATCAAGACGGACAATGGTATGATGCTGAGAGAGAGAGAGAGAGAGAGAGAGAGAGAGAGAGAGAGAGAGAGAGAGAGAGAGAGAGAGAGAGAGAGAGAGAGAGAGGGGGGGGGGATTAGCGAAGGGAATGTTTGGGCCAATGTTAGATAATTGAGAAGAGATCATGTACAACGCCTTGTGTGGAATAAGAGTTTAGAGTACAAGTTAAATTCAAAGTGCAGCGACTTAGACCTATACACGACACCTGCGTGCTAAAGTAGTCCAGTTAAACGAATGTTGCTTTATTATTAGGCTAATGCGCAGAGGCACTTGTAAATAAACTTTCGATCTAAGTAATTCGTCTGTGCTAAGTTCACAACCCGACGTTCTGTCAAGTCTCTTCAATAATTGGCTTTGTTTTACATCTACCTTTCACGTACTTTCTTTGATAATGTTATTGTCATTGAATGTCATGAAGAAGGGAGTAAATTTCCAGCGTTTTCGACCGCCTTTGAACCGGGTTTATTTATCTCTCGCAAAGCTTGAAACTTTACTCACGTCTGCACGCAGGACATGCCAGAGCACACACACGAGATATACCTATTCATTGTTCTCTAAAACATTCCCTTTGTGTACACTCATTCATATCTCTATCTTTCTCCCCCCCCCCCCTTCTCTCTTTCTCACTCCCTTTCTATCTGTCTTTCATTCTCTCTCCCTTTCTCTTTTCTCACTCTCTTTTTCGTTCTATATCTCCCCCTCGTATACCTTTCAGCCCCGGTTGTCCCTGCCAAATACAGTCGGAAGCCCGCCTCCTGAATAATAATTTTTTTTAAAAACTTTCTTCTCCCCCCCCCCCCCTCTTTGATTTTTATCTATTTCTTATATTGACACTTAACAACATGCGTGCAGACGTGAGCAAATTTCAAGCTAAGCCAGCGGCAATAAACAAACCGCCATCTTTGCGCTTGACTCGCCTCGAGTCGCACCACCAGTCACCAACCTCTTTGTCTTTACTTTTCTTCACTGTTGCGCTCTGCTTGCAGTGTGGCCATAGCCAAAGGTAATATGAGCGCCAGAAGACTAGAGGTGTTACAAGGGAGTAACAAACAAACAAGAAGAAGGGGAGATATGGACGATAGATGTTTCATAGGAGGAAAGAAGAAGCAAACCACACCAGAGCACCCGCCAACCACCACAATAAGAGTTTTAGGGCACTTGAAACACTACAGTAAAGTAAAAAAAAAGTGCCAAAGATTAGAGGTGTTACAAGAGTGTATACAGACACAAAAAGGAGGAGAGATAAAGACGATAGAATGTTTGATAGGAACGAATGAACAAACTACACCAGAGTATCCGCCAACCGCACGCAATGAAGGTGTTTTCACGCCCCATTGCCACAATTTAGATCATTTAGGAGGCGGGCTTTGACCCTGCCTATCAAGGCCAACCTGGACTGAAAAGGAGGCAACATCCCAGCAGAAAGACAGATTCTTTATAAAAATTCTCCCCACTCAGTACTCAGGAATTGAATTTGTTTCGTTTGCCTGTGACCGCTACATTAGAGATGCTGGTTTAAGAAGAAGAAGACGAAGAAAAATAAGAAGCAGACCACACAAAAGCACCCAGTAAAGTTTTGTTTTGTTCTAGTAAGAGTGTTACGGCGCTTGCAACATAATAATTTATATAAGGCCATATAAGAGCTGAAGATTAAAGTAGAGATGTTACAAGATAGTAACAAACACAAAAAAGAAGGAGCGATAAGGACGATAGCCAAAGACCCACACCCAGTAAAGAACTTTTCCTAGAATGAAAACAAACCATAAACTCAATTATATAGGATCACGAGTTTCTGATTCGTTTAATTTTATTCACAAAACTGCCACTGTTCTGTAGTAGATTAATATATGTGTTGACAAAACACAAACACACACAGACACACATATAGGCACAAACCCACACACACACGTAAACATACACACACATAGAGACACAAAAACACACACATCTACACACACACACACATGCAACTCTGATTGGATCCAGTTACTCATTCGTTGTTATTGACAGAGGACTCAATTCATCAACACACTAGAATCGACACACTAGCGACAACACACTCGTGCCACAAGAGCAAGTCACTCTGACATTACAAAAGGCACATTGACAAACAAAACAGCACATACAGAGCCAGCCGATTTACACATGGGATTAAGAAAACCTCTAAGAACAAGTACAGAATAATACTTGTAAAAACAATAATAATAATAATAATTAAAATGATAATAATAATATAATAATAACAATAATACTTATAATTATAATACGCCTGATAGTAATATAATAACAATAATAGTATTTATCAGAATCATTATAACTGCATCAACATAGTGCCTATCCACACTCTGAAGCATGCTCTATGCAATTTACAACTACCTCAGAAGACCTTAGAACATGACTCATAAACAATCTTGGGTTTTCCCGGAAGCCTAAAGTGCAAGCTGCAAAATGCACGCCCTTAAATATTGACAAACTGACAAGATCTTTCACTGTCTATGCCTGAGTACCTATTCCCACCTGTTTGAAGCAAAGAAAATTCATGTAAAGTGCCTTTCCCAAGGACACAATGTTGGGCTCTGATGGGGTGAGAACCCATGACCTTTCGGTTGCGAGCCCAACAGTCTAACCACTGAACTATCAATGCCACAGTATAGATATATGTAATTGTGGGCTACCAAAATCATCTACAGATGTAGGGACCTTCTTTTAAGCACATAGATAAAAATTCCATGCATCACAACAGAGCACATTTCATCATCAGGCTGTTCAGACGTAGATCTGGTAAGCCCAAAATTTTAAGAATTAATTAAAGAAACATTTTTTTTAAAGTTGCAGTTTCTTAATCCGTGCTGTGTGTTGCATACCGTCAAGAAATTTTTTTCTTTTTGAAATTTCAAAATTCGACATGTTATGAAAACGATACATAGGCTAGTGGAGGTGCATTCATTTAAAAAAAGAACCAAATACCACATCTGATCACAGACGTACACAAAGGAATCCATTCACATACCTTTATAACCTGCTGCTCTCACTGTCAACGCTTCACTCAGGTGAACACCCTACTGTCCCACTATCATAACAAACAACATAATATTGTTCCCTACACAATGGAACCAGACCTTAGTTTTTCTTTTGTACTTGAACAGTAAAATCATGGAAGGCACAGAAATGTGGTTCAACAGTATTAGATGCACAGACTTATAAGGAAGCTCCAACAATGCAGTAGCCCCTAAAAAAGTAAAGAAAGGTTTTTGTGTTTGGGAAAAGAGAATCACATTGACACTATAATGATCTTATAGAGCAGAGAAGAAGCAAGACAGACAGATAAATAGAAGTGCCAAAGATTAGAGGTGTTACTAGAGAGTAGCATACAAAAGAAAGGAGGAAGAGAAAATGTTTGATTGGAAAGAATGAGCAAACCACACCGGAGTGCCCTCCAAACACTCACATTTAATTTAAAGTTGAAAGACAACTTCTTCATCTAAGCAAACTGGACATGCGACTGGTTCCTAAAAACCAAGACATACGCTGCCAGCTGTCATTTATTCAACAGACAGACACACACTGTCATGTATTAGACAAAACATTTCTTACCAATGAGCATTACAAAACACGAAATAGCATCGTGATTAATGGAACATAGGTTAATCTCAACCTGAATCAAATCAGCATACAACAATTACTTGCACTACACCCTATACAGATCTAAGTAATAGTGTACAAACTACAATAGTCCACTCACAAATTAATGATATTTTGCAAATAAATTGTTATTCTCAAATCTTTATTCCTTGTACACAAGAGTTTTAAATCTGAAAAGCACATTCTTGAGTAAAAATGAAACTTCAAAGATCAGACATCTTCTGTAATTGGTTAGTCGCAGGACTACATGTATAACCTTTTCTGAGTAAATTACTTCTTGTTGATTTTATTTTAACAGGACAGAAGGTGAAATTGATAGTCAAAGACACATTTGAGAATAGTAGCAAGTTAAATATCATGAAACGCAGACAATATATATATTACCGTGGCGACCATGTACCATCCACTTGAAGGAAGTAACTATGTTCCTAAAAACGTTTCTAACACTCAGCACAAAGAAATGGCCACCGAAATGGAATGCAGAGCACCTACTGGCATGATTGGAATTTGGAATACAGCAAAGCGGATCCAAAACATACAGGAACGCCCCTCTGTAGCAAGCAACAAGGCAGATCCATAGCATTCAGAACTCCACTCAAACAAGGTTTTTTGCACCCCATTTAAGCACTGTAAGGATTGATTACTTTAATGCCCATCTGCTTGAATACTGTCTATTTCACATTCCCAATAACCCCGCCCAAGATAAAAAAACTGCCGGGGATAAGATCCAGGGTCCTTCCCCTTTCTGAGACAACTCCAACAACAACTTACAGCACGCTAAACACAATCACATTTATAACTCAAACATTCACCAGATCTTCCTTCGATGTGTATAAAAACATTTTAAAAACACAAAAACAGCACGATCCCTCAAAGCATTTGCTCGAAGTCTGTATCATTTAAAAAAATTACATTTACAGGACATCCTTACCTGAGTCTGCCTAACATCCACTCCGGCACTCACCCCACTGAATACTCAGGATATGCTCTGAATACAAATGCTTCGAGAGGCCTTGAAAGAACCTGACTTCAGTTTGAAAAAAAAAAAGATGGGCACCCCTGATGTCAATGGCAAAAAAAACAAACGTGGGTGGATGGGCAAGGATCATGACTGTGTGTGCGGGGCCGCACTCAACAAATGGCTTCACTGCTATAAACAAGGATGAGTATAAATAAAACAATAGAACGGAAAAAAAGGCGCACCCCAAAAAAAGGCCACTTTTCTTCAAGACAAAAACCCCCCCCCAACAACTGTCAATGTTGTATGCAGGGAGAAAAAGTTTTAAAAAAAGGTTGATGAATTTTTCAATGTACTGAAAATAATGACTCTGACAATGATATAAACGATAAAAGTGAAATAAATCTCAATAGGATGAATTCTGCCATGTGCAGAAAACTAACGCCTCTGTTAAAGAAAACTGCAAAAATTTTACATCCACTATATTTCTTTACAAACTTAAGAAAAAGAATTCAGCCAAAAACCTGCGTTAAAAATTACCTTGGTCCCTGAGCTAACCTTCACCCGGTCCCATCCACCACGTTTTGTCCGTCGATAGAGATACTTGTATCCACAATATTGACATTTGTATCAACATGACAGATACCTGTATATATTCATACTACTATCTCAACCGCATTCTATATCCTACAGCTCAGAGTTGTCAAACTCAAGGCCTGAGGGCCACATATGGTTTGGTGAACAATTAAATTTGGCCTGCCAGAGAATTTTCGTTTGTCCATCCTGAGAATCTCCACAACACAGAGCCTTAACCCAAACACAAACCAACTTTTGCCGAGAGAAGGTGCTGAGCATCCAGCTCTGACAAATAGACATACCAGTGAAAATTGGTACGTATTCATTTGTTAATGTTTAAACTTTTCATCCATTTCATGTTTGTTTTAAAAAGGTTTCATTTTCCACTGCCCAATGAGTGTTTATCCATTTCAGCCCAAAACTTGAAGTGTGGTATCAGTCTGGCCTCCTGGAGGGATTGAGTTTGGTATCTACCATTCTACCATTCGTTTCTCTGCCATTCGGGTAAGATCAAAGAGTAGTATCTGTTCCCGACTTTTCGGCCTTGTGCCGAGTCCAAAGCGTGACTGATACAACCTGGAGCTGAAGCCTTGGCTTCTATAATATCTAGTGGATGACAATGTCCTCTTTGGAAAAAAATAAAATAAGTCTGATATTTACCGTCTGATGACATGCAAGGAGAGCACAAGACACAGTTTACATAAATGCTCTGTCTTTGTACGGGTTCAACATTCCACTAAACTCACAAAAAGAGCACATCTGTCATCTATAGACCGTAAAAAGGACACATCTATCATCAATAGAAGACATAAAGGATAAAGCTATCATCTTCAGAACACAAAAAAGATGTATCTATCATCTACAGAACATATAAATCTATCATCTACAGAACATATAAAGGACGTGTCTGTTATCTATAGAACACGAAAAGGATGCATTTATCATTTATAGAACACAAAAAAAAACATATCTGTCATTCCATCAACCTCAAATACATCACACAAGTTTAGAGACGCACGAGTAGAACAAATGGCATGGGGTAAATGCAAACAACAAACGTTTGTGGGTATGTCACTATTCATAACACTGTACACAAAATAACTACACAACCACAGCAGTCAAACTCTGTGTCGCAAACGTAAAATAATTCTTTTTTCCCCCCTTAAATGTAGGTATAATCGTTCAGAAAAAAAAGAAAATTCCTTCACAAATCTGTCATTTATCATCCTCTTTTAAAAAATCATGACTTGAGTCATTTAAAGCCATCAAGAAAATGCAATTATTGGCCAAACAGTCTAAAAATAGTATTCCACTGTTAACAAGTGCATATAGTGTAGAATTTTCAAAAAAGGTATAATTTATCCAAGTGAGCAAGCAAAACAAAACAACCCTGATTACCAACGCAGTGAGGAAGTATTATAAACCAAAGTCTCGAGTCTTGTAAGACACGTTGATGCAAACTAAGATCTGAGGAGATACGGCCAGGGCAAAGTCGCCAAAAAGTTACATATCAACAATCACAGCACAATTCACAGCGCAGGAACATTTTTAAAAACCCAAAAAGAGCCACAACACAAACAGAGAAAAAAAATATATGGCAAATCTCACTGACTATACGTGCAGTTTTAGAGACATAGTGATTGTAGGATACTTAAAGCAAGACAACTTTTTTTTTGTTGTTGTTAAGTTTTATGACACAAGCATACTAGCAACACAAATATTTCTTAAGAGTGCCGAAGATTAGAGGTATTTCTAATAAGCAACATACAATGAAAAGAAGGAGAGATAAGGGTGACAGATGTTTAATAGGAACAAAGGAGAAAACAACACCAAAGAGCCCGCCAATCACCCACACATAAAGCAGATAGAAATATGAGGAGCATAATGCAAAACAATCAACCAACTTAGGAAAATTATCTTTCAGAAAATCCAATAAACTTCGTTGTAAATAAAAATGTGTGCCCTCTTCCACCATAAACAAAAGAAAAAACATTTTACACACAAATCGACCGTGTGCACTTTGCACATCAATGATGAGGAATAAAATACAGAAATGCTGTGTACGTAATTTTCAAGTCTTAACGAAAACCCCCAAAAACCCCCAACAAAAACAACAATCAAAAACAACAATCAAAAAAAAAAAAATCAAAACAAGAACAAAAACAGGCAGAGGAAAGGGTGGGTGAGAGGCAGATGGATTAACTCTACAACTATTCATTAAATTTTTAAGTGTGACCCCTTCATGAAACTAGCACATAACAATGTAGAATCTGTTTAACCTTCTGGTATCCCTTGGCTCATATTGGAACAATCCTGTGTGCATGCCCATATCAAGAAGTGTACCTATATTTTTGTTACTGTGTTTTTTGTTTTGTTGATGTCTTTTGGAGGGGGAAGAGATGCAAATAATATTGTTGTTCAATCGACTTCCGATGTCTATTTTATTTAGCCTTTATAACAACTGTGTGGAGCGCTGTTATTTTCATCGTATCAATATTTTTTCTTGTATGCACGAAAAGGTTGAAGCAAAATTATCATTACCCATTTTTCCAATGAATGAACAATCACATAAAGCAACATTCTCCACCAGCCAGAGTGTGGGTCAAAGGTCGGAGAGAGCTAACCAGAGACACGGCAGGATATAGGATTTGTTGAGCAAGTCACAGAAAAAATGTATCACGCCGACAGACATTTGGATCACTGATCACAGTACAGGCCATGGCACCTTTTTACAACTGGTTCGAGGAAAGAAAACAAACAGACAGGGCGACATTAGCACCCATGTGGCCAGCTGATTGTTTAGGAAAAAAGAGAACGACAACACAGAAAGAGACAAACAAACCAAAACGAGAAACAAACACAATACAAGACGCGCACAGAATGATCTATGTACAAAAAAGCTTTGTGCTAAGTTCACAACATATAAAGAGGTTCCAGTCAGCAGCTTTACGATATGGTTAGCAGCAGACTGCTCCGAGTAGTATGGGAGTGCGCGGGGTTTTCTAGCTGTCGTGGTGGGACTTTGTTTGTCAGTCCATCCGTCTACTCCAGTTCTACGATGACATCACCCTCATTGACCGTGTCCCCTGTCTTGTAGTTCACTTTCTTCACCTGGGGGGAGGAGACAAACAATATTTATAAGGTTTTAAAAAAAAAATTTTCTCTTTTTTTTGGGTTAAGGTAGGACTTTTTATACCCCCATCAATTCAAACACAATTTAGGAGAAGGGGAGAAGTAGTAGAAAAAAGTGAGGAAGAGGAAGAGGAAGAGGAAGAAGAAGAAGAAGAAGTAGAAGAAGTAGGAGGAGGAGGAGGAGGAGGAGGAGGAGGAGGGGGAAGAGGAGGAGGAGGAGGAGGAGGAGGAGGAGGAGAAGTAGTAAGAGAAGACAAGAAGGAAGAAAAAGAAGAAGAAGAAGAAGAAGAAGAAGAAGAAGAAGAAGAAGAAGAAGAAGAAGAAGAAGAAGAAGAAGAAGAAGAAGAAGAAGAAGAAGAAGAAAAAAAAGAAGAAGAAGAAGAAGAAAAAGAAGAAGAAGAAGAAGAAGAAGAAGAAGAAGAAGAAGAAGAAGAAGAAGAAGAAGAAGAAGAAGAAGAAGAAGAAGAAGAAGAAGAAGAAGAAGAAGAAGAAGAAGAAGAAGAAGAAGAAGAAGAAGAAGAAGAAGAAAGCAACATCAACAAAAACAACAACAACAACGATGACTCACCTTCCCGACCTTGGCACTGACGAGAGAGTTCTGCATCTTCATGGCTTCAAGGACACAGACCTCCTGGTGCTCGGCCACCTGTTAGGACAAACAAACACTTGACAATGACAATCTTTATTCATCTCACAGGGAGAAATTTGTCTTGGTCGTTAACAATGGCAGAAGACATTACAAAGGTTAGGTGCACTCATGCATACGCACAAGACAGGATATCAGAAAATAAATGTCCCACGTGCTGGGACAACCCGCTCCGTAAAACACACTCTCTCTCTAATCTGTATGTTCCATTTGTAGCACTGTGTGTTCAGTAACCTCACTGCAGTTGGTACGAATGAATTTTTATATCTGTCTGTTCTTGCTTTTCCTTACACGTCTCTGACTGATACACTGTGCTACCTTAGAATTACAAAGTTTTGTCTCTGCTCTGTACCTAGATATCAGAAAGCTGATGTTAAAAATTTTCTGTTTCACAACATGTCAAGCTTTTTTTAATGCAATTCTTTGAATATCTCCATTACGGCTTCAAATAGTCTTAAGATTTTGATAGAGCAGAGAGAGAGCATTCGGTTTCTAATCTCATTGTCATAGTAATTCAAAATGGCAAAAAATGTTTGATACAAGTGTGTATATCTAAGGTACCGAGTTGTCTGTCTTAGTTTTTTTAGTTTTAGTAGAGGTTTTACGGCGCTCACAACTGCATAAGGTCATATGAGCGCCAAAAGATTAGAGATGTTACAATAGAGTAACAAACATAAAAAAGAAGAAGGGTAGAAAAGGATGATAGATGTTTGATAGGAAAGAAGAAGTAAACCACACTAGAGCACTCGCCAACCACCATATGTCACCGCAAACAAACATACGTCTTTTCACATCACTGACACACTGTTCTATGTCTGTTGTTTATGAACACATCTCTGGCACATTGGGCGTAAAAACGCAGTACTAATACTGACTTCTCTCTCTCTCTCTTTCACACACACCCACACACAACCAAGACACACACAAACAGACTCACGGCGTTGCCGGCAGAGAAATTGACAGAATTGAGGATACCAGGCATCGGAGCTAGGACCATGGTACTTGTGTTCACTTCTTCTATCTCTGTCACTCCCACACATACACAAACAAGACACACACAAACAGACTCACAGCATCGCCGGCAGAGACATTGACAGACTTGAGAACACTAGGCATGGGAGCTAGGACCATGGTACTTGTGCCCACTTCCTTCTTCTATCTCTTTCTTTCTTTCTCTTTCTCTCTCTCTCTCACACACACACACACACACACACACAAATACAGACAAATAAGACACACACAAACAGACTCACAGCATCACCAGCAGAGACATTGACAGACTTGAGAACACCAGGCATGGGAGCTAGGACCATGGTACTTGTGTCCACTTCCTTCTTCTCAGGCATGTACTGGCTCAGCTGATAGGCCAGGTCATTCATCACGCTGACCGTGAACTGTGAGAGAGTGCGTGAGTGTGTGTGTGTGTGTTTGTGGGTGTGGAAAGGGAGAGGGGATGGCACGGCAGAGTGGTGTGGGGAGGAGAAAGACGAAAAAACGTGAGGCATATTGACAAAATTAATTATTTCTAGGATTTTAGCCCTATGGAAAAAGATACGTCAAATTTAAAGGTGGAATTTGTGTAAAATAATACAAATTCTCCGCAAACTGCAGAGAGGGGTGTGGTGGGGGGAGAGTGGTATGGAGGAGTAGAGGGGGAGGGGAAAGACACAGGAAATGTGAGTTGTGTTGACAAAATGTATTATTTCTAGGAAAAAAAGAAGCACATCAAATTTATAGGTCGAGTATGCGTACAATTCTCCACAAACTGCAGATGGGGAGAGGGGGAACGGGACGATACAGGAAATGACAGTTCAAACAATCACTCACCATGCTTTCTCTAAATTTCCTGTACATTCTACAACTTGAAAACACAGAACAAGTAATCAGTTTTGGTTTTTGTAAGAGTGGCACTTGCAACACAATTAGGTCATATAGGTGCCGAAGATTAAAGGTAAGGTTTACACAAACTTGAGAGACCCAACTCAGGCTGCTCAGTAAGATTGAAGCGACCGGAGCCTGGAACTGACATGGTCAAAGTGATTCCGAACGTCTCACATTTAGTCAAAACAGGAGAAAAGTGGGTGAAATCGGATGAAAACCCACGCTCTCGAAAGTGAGAGAAATACCGACAGTATAGCATAATGTTACCTGAGGGTATTTCATGAGGTAAAATATTCGATGTTTATCATCACTATTGTGATATGAGCGGATAATTACAAAACTTTCGATTTTGCCGTTTTTCGCGAAATGTATGCTACAAAACATGTTTCATATGCTGGTTAAAAATTGATATTTAAATAAACAACAAAAAGGAGACCTTTTTAACAGTTTGAAAATCGGATAACTCTAAGTCGTCCCTTTAATTTATCAGTTATTTCCTTCTCCTGAAAAATATACCTGATGTCACTTCTCCGATCTCATCGACAACAATATATATTGCTTCCATCTCAGCAGAAAATTGTCCATTTAATTGTCAAGACACAACATTTTAAGAAAAATTCAACTGGCCGCGAGCCACACTCATTATTAATTACTGGGTCAACTCCAGGGTCGAACTGATGTTGCTTGATGGACCAGATAAGCCCCAAGGTCTGTATTCTATTCTTAGTTAGGTCTGTACTTTATTATTAGTTTTAGAAAAAGTCTTACAGCACTTGTAATAAAGTAAGGTTATAATACTGCTGAAGATTAGAGGTGTTACAAGAGAGCAACAAACACATGAAAGGAGGAAACAAAAGGATGATAGATGTTTGATAGGAAAGAAGTAGCTGTAGTTTGCCCAGGTCTACTCTACAAGAAACCTGACAAAGCTGTCTTATCGAACACACTCACTAGTGTGCCATGGAATCGCAGGTCGTACTGTCCTCCTCCCAGCTTTTGATGAACCTGCAGGGAGAAGTAAGATATATAGTCCGATACGCACATAACAAAGCAAACACACATAGCCACACACACACATGGCCGGCAGATTTTCTTATCACAAATTATTTAGTATATATGTAAAATATTCTCTGTATTTAAAACAAAAACCTGTATATATAGCAAAATCATCAAATTCCAAACAATTCTGCTTTGGTCAGGAAGCCAAACAATTATTCTTTTATAGGCACATTTTTAATGTAACACACAAGTTTCTCCTCATGATCATGATCCCCGTGTGTGTGTGTGTGTATGTATTTGTGTACGTGCGTGTGTGTTTGTGTGGTGTGCGTTTGTGTGTGTCCCTGTATATATATATGTGTGTGTGTGTGTGTGTGTGTGTGTGTGTGTGGTGTGTTTGTGTGTATATGTGTGCGTGTGCATGTGTGTGTGGTGTGTTTGTGTGTGTGTGTATTTGTCTGTGCATGTGTGTATATATATGTGTGTGTGTGTGTACATGTGTTTGTATGAGTGTATATGTGTGTGTGTGTGTATTTGTGTGCGTATGTGTGTGTGAGTGTGTGTAAGTGCAGGTTAGTGTGTGTACGAGACGTGCACACCACGAGTCTCTCACCTGCAGCAATCTCTCCTCTCCATTGACCGTGGCCGTGATGAGTGGGGTGGAGAATGTCAGGTCTCCCTTCACCTCGAACACGTCATCTGCAACGACAACCTGGCCAGACAGAGACGACAAGATAAGCTACTTACATCAAGTTATAGCCTGTTCAAACATGGCAAACTCTTCTCTACCAGAATAGGTCTCATTGGCCATAGAAGAAGCCACAAGTCATCTCAGTCCTAAGAAAAATTCTCCTCTGCAGATGCATTGGTCATAAACAGACATTGACTGATGAACTGTTAACAATTATTATTGTTACTGACATTATTACTACCATTATCATTATTACTCCTATTATCATTATTACTATTATTATCATTATCAATACTAGCACTATTATCATTATCAATATTATTACTGCTCATATCATTATTACTACTATTATCATTATTACTACTCTCATCATTATTACTATTTTCATTATCATTATTATTACTATTATCATTATTACTACTATTTATCATTATCATAACTCTACTACTATTATCACTATTATTATAATTACCGCTACTATTATTACAATTATTATTACCACTGTTATCACTCTCACTATTACTACTACAGCCAACAAGTAAGGACCCGTGGGAGCCAGAGAGGTGTACAACTTCTCTTCCTCCGTGTCTGTCAAAGGTCATCATCAGTTAATCATCACAAAGCTAGCAAACTGGCATTAGTTAGAGATGCGCCAAAATGCAACTAGCCTTTTATTTTGTTTGGTGGTACTATATGGGAAGCATGCTGACAAAATGAGGATTCAAGCCTTAAGGAAATAGATACATTACACTTATAGGTGAAGATTTTTTAAATAAAAATAAAATATAAAACAGGTTATAGTAAAAGAATATGGTATTAATATAAAATCTAGAAATTTGACCATAATATCGGTTTTTGGCCAATATCTCCATTTGTGGATTAAGAGAAGTAACTCATTATGTCAGCACACCTCACATATCTATCTAAACCCAAAACAAAAATGCGCTGGCAGTCTGAAAAGAACCACGCATGGCAAGTTTCACCATTATAAGATGATGAAGAGTCTAGTTAAATAGTTGTTTATTTCCCCATTTATCTCAAAAGTAGCAAAAATGAGATGTGCTAGCACTGATGTCATGATATCCAGCTATTATCATTTTTATCATTACTATTATAGTTTGCAAGGTGACTATGTCCCAAAAAAAATTCAGATCCAAAATATAAACATGTGTTTTTATGCCCCCATTGGCACAACTTGAACCATTTTTTAAGAAACGGGCTTTGGCCCTGCCTGTCCGGGCCAACCCAAGTTGAGAGGGATACAACATTCCAGCAAAAAGACCAAGGTACTCTTTAGTAGTTTTACTAAGAGTTTTAGGAAGCTCACAACTGCATAAGGTCATATGAGCGCGCCAAGATACTCTAAAGAAATTTTTTGGGCACTAGGGTCTCCTGTATGCGATGGTGTGGTGCCCCATGATATGTATGAAAACGGTGACCATAAAAAACATATTAAATACATTTGAGAGGCAATGTGGTGAAATCAGGCGCTCGTCAAAATCATTAAAGTGAAAAAACTGGCATTTTTCCGCAGGTTCGTGACTTTTCATCAAATTTTTGTGGGGTCCTTTTTTTTTTTGGCTCAACACCTTTCAAGCCCATTAAAGAACATATTTCTGTGGGGATTTTACTGAAAAACTTTTATTAAATAAACACATAATGTAAATTTTCAGTTTCCACGGACTCTCAAGCTAAGGAAATAAACAATCTTTGGCTGCCATTTTCTCACTAATTTTACCACAGAAACCAGGTAACCTCCCCCCTCTTTCATTTGCAAACATCTCGACTTGTATTCAAGATAAGTGGATACGTTTTTCATCTAAAGCAAGACAACTGAACATGCTTTAAGATTATACCAATAATTATACATGCACAAAAACTGACGAGAGCCTGATTCCACCACGCCGCGGTACATTTATCATGTACTGGTTGGCAGCTATGTAAATAGGAGCAAAGTTACAAGGAAATGTGTGATGCTGAAAACTTCGATTTTTGTTTTAGTAAGTGTTTTACGCCACTTGCGACACAATTAGGTCATATAAGTGCCGAAGATTAGAGGTGTTACAAGACAGTAACAAACATAAATAAGAAGGAGAGATAAAAAGGATAGTTGACTGATAGGATTGGAGGAGCAAACCACACCAGAGCACCCGTCAACTTGGATGATGATAGAATTGGCTGCACTTCACTCTTTATCTGGAGACAGTGGACTCGTATGCTGAAACCAACTTATGCATGCACAGAAGGGTCAGCAACAAACGCTACACGGAATGCTGGATACAGACCCACCATCAAATATCGAAACAACCTTGGAGAGAAGAAGCAGACCCCACTATTTGGCCCATGTGGAACATACAGCTCCCACTCTGACCCAGAGAGAGTTGCCATAGCAGATCACCCAAGACTTTTTTGAAGGCGCAGTAACACCAGGGGATGTCATTGTCTTCTCTGACTCAATGTCAGTACTCCAAGCCGTCGAGGGAGGAAGAGACTACAGAGGTGACGGGAACATTCTCCGCCTTGTAAAACAGATGGGCACGCCCATGGCGTCCGGGTCACACAGCAGTGGGTGCCTGGCCATTCTGGAGTACCAGGGAATGAGACTGCAAATCATCTATCAAAGACTGGAACAAGCCTGCCCCAGACAGACACAGCCACTTCTTTAGCTTCTTTACAGAGGGATCATTCAAGCCAAAAGTAGAGACGAGTGGCTGAACAGATGGGCCAATGCAGAAACAGGAAGATCTCTCTTCGAGTACATGGACAAACCCAACCCCAAAGAACCTTTGAGTCTCTTACGTAGAGCCGATCAGACATTGATCTTCAGAGCCCGCACAGGACACTTACACACCAACAAGCACATATATAGAATTAACCTCATGTGGGAACCCCATTGCAGACACTGTGACTACCACGAGGAGACCACCGAACATCTCCTTCACTGCCCAAAACTGGCAGTTCTTCTACGAAGGCTCCTACACACACCTACAGACTTAAAAAGCCTGCTCTACTCTACTGTTGACCAGATGACAAGGACATGTGGTTTCTTGAGGGAGGCACTGTGCTGCCAAGAGCGAAATGCTCGCAGCTAAAGGGATTTGAAACAACAAAAACTCTTTTTCTCCAGCAAGCTGCTCCCAGCTGTCAGAACCGCTGTGCGCTCCTTTACAACAACTGCGACGTCAAACTACCTTTCGGTAATTATTGAAAACAGATTTTTTTTTTTTTAACCTGGAATTCGATCGATGAAGAACTATCAAAATATGTTCACTGCTTTGATATAATGACTAATTTAGCGACATATATGTCGACTTCGATTTCGTACCAAAAGAGGGCCCCGGCATCGTGGGTTTACCCCCCTCAGAGATACCTTACTTTACTTTTCAGATCCAGTGGCCATCTGGGTTCTAGCCCTTTGGCCTGTCGATCTTGCGAAGAGAGTTGCCATAGGTTTTTATCAGCTCAGAGATATAAAGGCATAACCTTCCAGCCACTAAGAGTGATGAGGCCTCACCTTGTAACCACCATCGATTGTGTTGACTTCAGCATGGAACCTCGCCTTGTTGATGAGCACATTCAAGGTCCACTTCTTCCTGGCATCCTCAACTGGCATAATCCTGAATATAATGATCATTATAATAATAATTAACAATATAATCATAATAATAATACATAAAAAGCATCTGTATACCGTGTAGCCCCACACAAAAACAAACTCTTTGTAGTGATCCATCCATCTGTTTGGTTTTGTTTCTTTTCTTTACATAAATAATTTACGCTTCAAAATAAATATATGTAAGGAAACCAGCGCCAAATCTCACACCAGAAAAACTAGCCAGCTGAGAGTGTTGTTTTTAAAAGGAGTTTAACGGCACTTGGAACACAAATAGGTCATATAAGATCTGAAAATTAGAGGTGTTACATGAGAGTAACAAACACAAAAAAGAAGGAGGAGAGATAAGGACAATAGATGTTTGATAGGAAAAGAGCACATGACACCAGGGTCCAGAGCACCCACCAACCACCCACAGGGAAAAAAGCCAACCAACTGCCAAATTAATAACAACAACAGCAGCAACAACAACACCAACAACAAAATCACTAAAAAACAACAGCAACAACAACACTAACAAAAAGAGCAGCAATGACAAAAACACCAACAACAACCCACTGAGTCACCCACCTGCTCTGGTTGAGGAAAGCTCTGGATCTGTTCGTGTCCTTCAGGAAGATGGCGCACGCCATTGCAGACAACTCCTGCTTGTCTTTGACTGTCAGCTGTTTGCCTGCGAACGGACAAACAACGTAGAGGGGGAACAATATTTTTTAAAGCACATTGCAAACCACACACACAGCGAAACTGGGACAAAAGCTAAACGAGTACAGAGTGAAACTGGGACAAAAGCTAAACGAGTACAGAGTGAAACTGGGACAAAAGCTAAACGAGTACAGAGTGAAACTGGGACAAAAGCTAAACGAGTACAGAGTGAAACTGGGACAAAAGCTAAACGAGTACAGAGTGAAACTGGGACAAAAGCTAAACGAGTACAGAGTGAAACTGGGACAAAAGCTAAATATGCACAAAGTGAAACACACACATAGCAAACAGAATTCCATGTTCCAAATTTTATTCTTATACATTATATTATGTGTATTTAAAATACATACACAGAGAAATTTGGACATAACGAAAAGATTAGAGTGGCAACTGGCAATGGTGTGTTTGTAGTATGTTCATGTGTTTCAGTATGAATGTATGCATGCACGGTTTAATCTGCTCTTATGGCCACCTGAACAAGACGTTCACCTGTACAAAGAAACACATACACTTATCGTACCCCCCCATGCATTTTTTACCATTTATAATGACATTGTGTAAGATGTCCACTTGTTTAAAAAGCCCACCTTTTTTCTCAACAATGGGTGGCTGTCTTTGACAATTTTGATAGTGAAATATATTTATGTAATGTCTTTTTATGTATGCACAATATATGTTATAGTATTTCAAACCAAATTTTCCTATCATCAATGAAAGTGGAACTTAATTACTTAATTTTTTTCTAAACAAAATGACCTCAAAATATTTTAAAATTCTTATAAACCGGCATTATTTACCCTGGATTCACCGGAATTAAATCATGGCTGACCAAGGGAAATCACATATGTTCTTTTCTTTTGTGTTTTTAGTGTGTTTCCCTGTTAGTAATGTACACATATTATACATCATTGTAAAAGTCATTGAACGTAGAATAAGATTAGTATAAAAATATTGAAATTCAAAGGAAAATGTTGTTAGTTTTGAAGAGTTACATAACATTACGACATAAAAAAAGAGAAAAATGAAAAAAAAAATTCTTCTTTCCGTGACAAAGTCAGATTCGCCACTTCCTACTCCTAAATCTGTGTTATTCTTCGGCATAGTGAAAATTTCAGAAACGACACAAGAACCCCAACGCAAAACAAAGCTTAAAACTTGCATCAACACACTGTGAACAATTGAAAAGCCCCGCTATTTCTTAACAAACGGTGGATGTGACCTTTAACCCACGCTAAACCCATCGGTGAAAACTAGTGTCAGTTTCATCTTCGCCTTTGAATAAGGAAATAAAAACAACCCAATATGTGTCGTCCCGGCTGATGGCGGTCGGCGGAAACAACACAGTATGTGTCGTTACGGCCTATAAGAGTTAAAATATAGGTGATTTTATTTTATGCCCTCATTGACACAATAAAGAACACCTCATCTCACAGATAGAAACCTAAAAAAAAGTAAACAAAACAAAACCAAAGTGCTTCAACTGACCTTTGAACCCTTCGGGAAATACTTCGGGGAGGTAGTTGGTGCTCACATCACCAGACACGAACCTCGACTCTGTCAAGATGTCTCGCAAGAGTGGGATGTTGTGGGTGACACCTGGGGATAGAGAGGTACATGTTTTAGTTTTTAGTAAGAGTTTTACAGCCCTTGCAACACAAATAGGTCATACAAGTGCCAAAGATTCTAGGTGTTGCTGGAGAGCAACATTCAAAGAAAGGAAGGAGGCGATATGAGAATGACAGATGTTTCATATGAAGGAAAGGGCAAACCACACCAGAGCACTCATCAACCACCCACTTTGAGTGAAGGTTTTACAGCAGTACTGACACTATTTGGTCATCAAGCTGACATATTTGCTGCTCTGTATTTGGACCAAATTCTCACTCATGCCCTAAGAGAAGCACCAAGAGCACATTATAAAAGTGGTACACTTGATACAGCAGAGAAGTTAAAGAAAAAAAAATAAGACAGGAAAGAAAGCAGTGACGATAAACCAATGTAAATATCACAAACACACATTTCGACTGATTAGTGTTAGACTCCATCATATCATCACTGCACTAGTGGTGGTACATCTCATCTTTTTGCTACTTTTGAGATAAATGTGAGGCATCATGGTGAAAACAGCTGCTCGTCAAAATAACGAAATCCGACAAATCGGCATTTTTCGGGCAGTTTGGAAATTTTTTTTCCAATATTTGTTTTTTTTGTCTGGACGCCTTGTATGTCCATTCAAAAACACTTTCATATGTGGATTTTATGGAAAAAACAAAGATTAAGGGCACAAAAAATGTAAATTTGCAGTTTCCAAGGACTCTTGCGCTATGGAAGTCATCAAACTTAGGCAGCCATTTTTTCACTAGTTTTACTTCTGAAACCAGGCGACCCCACCTCCTTCAATCGCAAATATCTCGACTTCTATTAAAAAGAAATGGATATTTTTTTCGAAAGCGAGGCAAATGAAAACCTTTCAGATGATACAAATAACTCCACAAGGACAAAAATTGATGAGCACCTGATTCCGCTGCATCGTACACAAATGGAAAAAAATCTGTCTAACTAGACTACTTATCATCTAAAAATGGTAAAACTTGTGCCATGCATGGGTCTTTTGTGACCGCCCGCATTTTAGTTTTGACTTTACCAAAAGATAGATATAATACCATCAAACAAAATAAAAGGCTAGTTGCATTTTGGCACAACTCAGAGTTATGCCCTTTGGCTAGCACAGTGACGATATGTCATTTTGAAAAATGACAGATGACTGCATGCATTATCATGTGTAGGGCACGATGTGAAACCAAAAAGACTAGTCGAGTACCTGGCAGCATCGCTTTTTACCCTATCGGTATTTGATGTTGTTGCTGCTTTTCATATGTGCTTTCATTTGCCGCTCTCTTCTATTTTCGTGTCTGTTCTCTTAAATGAAAGAACGTGCAACGAATTTGCAAGAAATAAAACTTGCTTTGCTTCACTTCGGCTACATAGTCAGAACTCGCAAATGCCCAAGAGTTCGACCAGAGATGGTTCGACATGGTGTTCGCGGCAGGGCTGCCAGATGGCCACGGGCGTGGCCAAAATGCCCGAAAATTGGCCACACAGAAAATTGCTTGGCCACGACGAAATTGCTAGGCCACAGATCTAAATATACTTTCTCCGAGTCAAGTCGATTTTTTGGTTATCAAAACTGATGAGTTTTTCCTAGTGCTAGTTGTGTTTGGTCACGTTAGGTTCTATTTGGCCACTTGTAAAGTCGAAACTGGCCATCTGGGAGCCCTGGTTCGCGAGTTCACGGTTACCAAAACTTCAAAACTCAAACACATGGGGCATGCATGTGTTGTCTACGCAGAGAAATAGAAAAGTCCAGGAATCAAGTTGAATCACAAAATAAGTGTATTGTGTACATTCTGTATCAAAGCCTATGCCTAGATCTAGATTTGGATTTCTAGCAGCGAGAATCTAAAGTTTCAGATTCTGGACGTTACAAAATGAAAAGAATAAGTGACTATTTCAAGCCACCGACATCAGGATCCAAAAAGTATAAGCACAGTAGTGAAAATGTTTCCAGTTCTGATTCGAGTGGATCGTTTTCTGTGCCTGCAACAGGCTGTGGTGATAGTGATAGGCCTGGGCCTAGCACGCACTCTGATAATATAGATCTAAAAAAAAATGGTGAGAACTTAGTTTACTGGACCACTCTTTGACCTTTGTTGTGTTTTCTCTTGGCTCACCCCTCTACACTTCATGCCAAAGCTCCAATAGTAATGACAGCCTCTTTATCTTAAAATGACAAAGTGTTTCCTGCCCGTTTCATACATTAAGTACTATTTCCAAATACGACAGTTTCTCAAATCTACATTAAACTTTTATTTCATCAAAATCGAGCCAGAATTAAATATTTTACAAGCCTATTCCTGGTGGAAGGAGTTTTAGCACAAAGTGTAGATCTAGATCTATCGTTAATTATCCGTTGTTGATAAATTAAAACAAAACAGTTTATGGGGTCCAGTAAGCTAAGATCTTATGTCCTTAACAGATTGTGATGGAACAGTGTCTGCAGAACCAGTAGATCTAGATTCTAGATGTCATAGTAGTAATGAAGCAACAACATCGCCAGGAACAAAAACTGAAAAAAATTCAATAAGTCTTTCCTACCCAAATGGCTAAATGAACCAAAACACAAACAGTGGCTCAAATTTGAGTCAATGTCAGTCAGTAATCCACTCTTTTCTCAGTTGAAATAAAGCAAGATCCATAACATGCATATTTTAAAATTTAACCTTTGTCGCTTTACATTACATGTAAGGGAAGGGCCCCATAAAAACTCAAAAGGCCCCCTTGAAATGGCTTTGTGGGCCCAAAGGCCCCCCTCTATCAATAACCTGGGGAAAACACTGACTGCATTCGAAAAAGCTTGACATGTTGTGAAACTCAAAAACTTTCACGTCAAATTTCTCAAAACTACGTACTGAGAAGATAGAACTTAGTAATTCTAGGGTAGCGAACTGCTTCAAGGTACTGTACCTTTGATGATGTAAGAGTCTAGAGCTTTGATCATAGTCTCCATACAAGAAGTTCGGTCGCGGCCATAGGTGACCAGTTTGCAGATCATGGGGTCATAGTAGATGCTGATGTCGCTGCCCTCGGTGATACCGCTGTCGCAACGAGTCTGTGGATAAATAACATCGACAAGCTGTTGAGTTGCTTTTATACACATGATATTTTGCTCCTATCTGTATTCCTATATTCATGTATCTATACATTGTTAAATTGATATATACGTAACATATTTGTGTCATTTTATATGCTCCGGTGCATAAATCCTGCATGTATTCTTAAGCCATTATAAGCTATTAATATGTCTTGTAAAGTGCATTGAACATTGTACCCTATGGAAATGCTCTGTATAAATGCCATGTTTTATTATGATTATTATTATTTGGTGTAAAAGTGTACTCAGCCAAAATGTTGAATTTGTTATTTTTTGCTTGCCAATATGTGGTACTGGTTGCATGTGCTTAAGACATATTTTGTTGAAATTCGAATTCCAAATGTTAGAAAAAAGCGAGAAAAAAGTACACAATATAGGTACAATTGTTAAAAGAACAAAAGTTTTCCATTTTCCTCGACAATTTTTTTTTAGAAGAGGTTTTACGGCGCTCCCAACTGCATAAGGTCATTTGAGAGCCAAGGGGTGGATGTCAACAGACAAGTCCTTACAGGGAATCAGACTTACTCTGTTCACCTCTCTAGCTTCAACAGCACAAAGTCTGCTTCGACTACCAAGGCACCCTGGAAATAGTGGCTCACAAGAGTGTGACAAACATACAAAAGAAGTAGAGGATAAATGACAGTAGTAAGGATTAGGAAAGAAAAAGCAGCAGTTCCTTGTAGATCAGGCACAGTTATGAGAGTGACATTGATGAATCAGCCCATTTCCAATTCTACCGTGCATGAACGAGAAATGTCCCCCCTTTGGAAATGGCCTAAAGACACTTCAGTCAGTGGCACCGCCCCGGGGGGTTCTCGACAATTTTGCTTTCTGAACTTAAGAGTATGTTGCGACAATCCCTCTACTAAAACTGCGCTACTTTTCTTATGATACCTAGAGTTTCCCCTTTTTTCTCAGCGAAAGCGGCTGTAGTGATTAGAGGCATTTATTAAGAGTAACATACAAAGAAAAGAAGAGAGATTAAGGACAATAGATGTTCGATAAGAAAGAAGGAGCAAACCACACCAGATCACTCGCCAACCATCCACAGCAAGGGTGGGGCAGTTGTACAAAAACACACACACACAGACACGACGTACATTTGGCAGATGCAGGGGCTCCATGTAGCGAGAGAGACGTCCAATGGACGGCATGCCAAAGTTCTTGAAGGGGTCCTGGCAAAGAGAAATCACATAAAGGGTCGTCAGCATGATAATGAACAGTTAATGGTTTATGAAATTGCATAGGCTTAACACCCTTTGCAATACTGTAATGTTATTCAAGAGGTGGAAGCTCTGAAAGTGCCTTTCTCAAGGAGACAACACAGCAACGGTCGTCAGCATGGTAATGAACAGTAAATGGTTTATGAAACTATAGGCTTAACTCACTGACTTCTGGGTCCTTTATCAGTCTCTAGCGCTGACTACTGTCCTTTTTGGGGGGTATTCCAAAACATCACCCCAACCAATGCTTAAATCAGCTGATGCTGAAAAGTAAGGAAAATTCTGCAGGGTCCAGGACCAGCGGTGCTGATGGGGGTTAAGGGGGCGAAGCCCCCGAAGAAATTGAAATTTGGTGCTTTTAGAGGGTTGAAAATGGCATTTTGGAACCTGTTTGAAAATAGGCCACCTCTATTCTCAACCGGAGTGAGAATAGTGCAGGCGAGTCTTGTGGCTATTCTCACCCGGTGCGCGTTCACCAAATTTTGCGTTCACCCTAAACCACAGAATTCTACATTGTGATAACAGAAAAATTGTAGAATTCTGTGCCGTGAACAAACGTTCCATTACAACTGTAGCCTACTAAAAGCGTACAATTTTGTCTGTGGGCAGTTGAGAGAGAGAGAGAGAAAGAGAGAGAGGAGTAGCGCAAGAATTTCCGGGCAAAATAAAATGGCGACCCGCGTAGTTCGGCTCGATTCGAAAAGCTAAATAGCCGTAGCATCTTTGTAGACAACCAAATTAATTTACTTTTGTGTTTTAACATCATTTTTTAACTTTGTTTTGGTCAATTTGATCATCCACACCGATAGACAGTATTCAGAAAGAGACAGAGAGAGAGAGAAGAGGGGAGGAGTTGATCTTGTGAGAACTTCCGGGCGGGTGAGAATAGCCACTTTCTTGAAAATATTGCCTTCAGCCCATAATATTTATTTTTTCACCAACATTTTGTCTTGTTTGATTACTTCACCAACATATCTTTCCATTGCTGGCAATGATTAAAAGCAGGTTCCCCTTTCATTGCTACTAGAATTCAATTAATTTGTCGTTGCACCATTGATAGAAGGCAAACCTGGGAATAATGAATGGCCACCTCTATTCTCACCCGGAGTGAGAATAGTGCAGGCGATTCTTGTGGCTATTCTCACCCGGTGCGCGTTCACCAAATTTTGCGTTCACCCTAAACCACAGAATTCTACACTGTGATTACAGAAAATTTGTAGAATTCTGTGCCGTGAACAAACGTTCCATTACAACTGTAGCCTACTAAAAGCGTACAATTTTGTCTGTGGGCAGTGGAGAGAGAGAGAGAAAGAGAGAGAGGAGTAGCGCGAGAATTTCCGGGCAAAACAAAATGGCGACCCACGTAGTTCGGCTCGATTCGAAAAGTTAAATAGCCGTAGCATCTTTGTAGACAACCAAATTAATTTACTTTTGTGTTTTAACATCATTTTTTAACTTTGTTTTGGTCAATTTGATCGTCCACACCGATAAACAGTATTCAGAAAGAGACAGAGAGAGAGAGAAGAGGGGAGGAGTTGATCTTGCGAGAACTTCCGGGCGGGTGAGAATAGCCACTTTCATAATGAATAGATGTACCTTCAAAATACAGTTGTGCAGCATATACCCAAATTTTTCTCTCGATTTTCACGTCTTAATGTCGCCTGTCACGACCTCGGAACACCACTACGAATTATTCTTGATTTTACCTACGGCTGGATCGGGCGAGGCCATCGCTCGACTTGATCGCCTGAAACTGAAAACAAACACGTTTGTTTTTGAGGTGACCGAGTCGGGCGATCAGCGCGATCGGCTGATCCCATCCGTAGTGGGCACGCCCGTATCAGCATATATTTCTTTCATCGCGGCCCTTATATTGCGTTCACATCCTGTAGAATCTTCGCATTGATAATTTATCTAGATCTAGACAAATTTGCGAAAAAAGTTTCTTTCTGACAGTAATTTTCTGTCTAAGATCACAAGTCAATTTACTTGATCAACGCACAGATTTTCCAGCCGCGGCAACAATCCGAAGATAGACAAAAGGAAAGAATGAATTAGTGATGGGCAGGTATCGATACCAGGTACTCGATACTTAGATACTTATAGGTATCGGTACCGATACCTGCTCTAAACATCGATACCTATGTGTTATTTATCCCAGGACTGCCAAAGCAAGTGACTTGGGCCTTGAGAATTTTTTGTTTATCAAAACTGATAAGTTTTCGTAGGGGGCAAGCGTTTTAAATTAATATAGTGATTTTTTTAACAAAAAGAGAGAAGTTTTTCATGAAATGTATCTAGTGATTTTGCAAAATCTTCACTGACAACCCTGATTTATCCTCATTGGTTTAATTTAAAGTTGCTTAAAATCTGGTAAATTGAATTGCCTTTTTAGAACTCTTGTGTTTTTATTTTCCAATACTAACATTTTCTGCAAAGTTGACTTTCCTCCCATACTTCACTTAATTTGTGTTTTTATTCTCATATTTGGATATTTATTTCTCTCTCTCTCTCTCTCTTTTACAAATAATTTGTGTTTGAGTCTCAGCTAAACAGTCACAACTTGTCTAGACACGATTACCTAAATACTTGGAAATGTATAGTTGTATTTTTGTCTTTACCCCCGGCGTATGTTGCAATAGCATTAGGTATCAAGGTATCGGTATCGATACCTTGAAAAAGTACTAGGCATCGACATCGATACCTAAATTGTGGTAACGGCCCATCACTAGTGATTAGAACACACTTTGCAACACTGTAAGTTTAATTAAGAGCAAGGCTTCCTACCTCAACGTTCACATTATAGGTGAATTCAAGGTCAATTTAAGGTATTTTGGCAAAAAATCAGGTAGTACAAAGACAAAGGAGAAAACGAAGACGAATACTGCAGAGATCCATGCAGTTACCACTGAACAGGACTTGCTTTTTCCGGATACCATGTAATTGTATTTTAAAAACTTGAGCATAGGCATGTGTCTCTGTGTGTGTGTGTGTGTGTGTGTGTGTGGGGGGGGGGGGGGGGGTTCTCATTTTTATTCACAAATCTGGTCTTGAAAAGTTCAGATTTTTCCAACAGCATTGGCAAGTCCGCAGGAAGCAATACTAGAAAACGTAAACACAATAACAGACTTCTGTACTCATACCCTCAATAAAATGTCAAACATCATTATTATTCACACACACTGGTTGGCAGCAATGCCACACACTCACCTCAGCGTAGACCCGACATTCCATCGCCCAGCCCTCGATGGGAATGTCCGCCTGCTTGTGCAGGAGGGAGTGACCTTTAGCGACCCGCAGCATCTGGTGGACGATGTCCACGCCGGTGATCATCTCTGTGATCGGGTGCTCCACCTGCAGACGTGTGTTCATCTCCAGGAAGTAGAAGTTCTTGTCCTTGTCCACCAGGAACTCCACCGTGCCTGTGACAGTGATCGGGGCCGGGTGGGGAGTAGGTTTTAGTAAGAGTTTTACAGCACATAGGTTTGGGGTTTTAGGTTTAGAAAAAGTCTTACAGCTCTTTGTTTTAGCTTTAGTAAGAGTTTTACAGCACTTACAACACAAATAAGTCATTTAAGTGCCGGAGATTAGAGATGTTACAAGAGAGTAAATTACAAAGAAAAAAAAGAAGCAAACTACACCAGAGCATCTGCCAACCATCCAGTTTTTGAGGATTGGAAAAAGCAATACCACCGTTAATTTTTTGCAAATAAAAAAAACCAAAAAACTAAATTAAACAAGAAGAATTACTTGAAAAAGTTAAGTAGGACCTACAACAAACACAACGCTTCATGGTTCTTCATACATCAATTTCTCACCCTTTTTTTCCCCATAAAGCACTAACTTTTTGTGATAGGGAAAGGACAAAGAATTGATTTCTCTTCCCTTCTGCTGCTTCATCTCTTGATTGACATTATGCAGAAAGTCTCCCAATACTATTAGTTAAATCTGGTCATTTCAATATTCATTTTATAGCAATTGAGTATAGACAATGGAGTTTGCTTAAAAACCTGGTTTTTGGTTTAAAGAAGTTGCTCAAAAAGAAGGGGAAAAAAATGTATGTTGTTTTTGTTGTTGTTATCGATCCAGCAACAGCTGGGCTCTCGCCCTTCTGTCCAATGCCATGTAGTGATAAGTGCAGGTTTGCTGCAGTTGCTGTAATGTTCCATGGAGTGTGTTGTCAATGTTAGGTCTCGAAGGGAGAAGGGTAGCTCTAATGTCATTTAGGGCTGTGCAGTAGAACAGGTGATGATCCACAGTCTCATAAGCATAGTCACACAACGGACACATTGGGGGAAGTTCCGGGTTTATTCTGTTCAGGTGGAAGTTGAGATGTATATGTACTGTTCGTAGGCGGAAGATCGTGGTCTGTTTCTTTCTCTGTATGTGGTAGATATTGTCATTCCTTTTTGTTGTGGTCATATGTTTGAAGACTGCTCTGCCTGTCTTTCCCAGGGCCCATCTGTTCATCCAATCTTGTTTGTTGTTGCTTTTAATGATTTGTTTTGCAGTTTAGTATGAAGTCGGAATGTTGGGTTGTTCCTGTCTAGATTCCCGTTTGGCAAGTGTGCCTGCAAGTTGTCATTTCCAGGAATGTTTGAGTGTCCGGAGACCCACTGCATTACTAGGTTGATGCCACAGAATGTTATCAGATGATGGGAGCCAAAATAGTATAAGGGTCAAATCTTCGTTTAGATGATGGTCATTTTCTATGGCTTCTAAGACTGATAGTGAGTAGGGTGAAAATCACAATACCCTGTGCTTTTCCAGGATGAGTGTCAAAAACTGTGCGGAGATGGTACAGTGCTGTTTCAATTCCCATCATTTCGGCATCATAGTTGCTGCATTTCTCTCCACAGGCTGCAGAGATCTCATTAGAACTTCCATCTGGGGGTACTCTATTATTATTCAATATCCGGCTTTGGTTGTGCCTTTGAATGTTGAGCCGTCCGTATAGACGTGTATCCAGTCATCTGAATAGCTGTCGATTGTTTGATGTGATGCAAGCATCAGCGTCACTGGGTCTGAAGATTTTATGCTATTGTCTCTGAGAGATGTTGTAATGATTGGCTTTTTTAAAGAAAGGTGGGGAGGGTGTTTTGGTTGACTCTTTTGGTTTCTTTTCTGTTTTGTGATAGATGATGACTCTCCATTAGTTCGGTGATGGGATGCATAAATAACTTTTGTTGAATTTGTTTCTTTGGTTTCCATGTTTCTATTAATTTCCTGTTTGGGTGGTTTGGGCACATTCTTTTAGCTCCAAAACTGCTTTATCTCAGCGGATTCCCAGGGGTTCAACATTTGAAAGGATTTCGCATGCGGCGGTAGGTGTGGATCTCATGCCACCATTTATAAAACGAAGGGCATTGTTTTGGACATTGTCAAGGGTGTTGCAAGTAGTTGTACTGCACATAGTGAGTAGGCTATTACTGTATTCCAGGAGAAATCGGACATAACCAAGGTATAGAGCTCTCAGAGTTTGTTTGTCTGATCCCCATGAACTGCTTGCGAGTTTCTTTTAAAGTTGGAGTCTTTTTTTGCCTTGTTCCTAATGCTTTCCACTTGGCTTTTCATGGTTAGACTATGGTCAAGTTTGGGGAGACTTTCATCTCCTATCGTCAGTTGGAGATTTTCTTTGGCTGCTTTATGGCTCTATGTAAAGATGGTGTTTACTGTTTTCGTGCAGTTTTTTTAAGCTTCCATTTCTGACAGTAATTGTGGTGCCTCTTGAAGTCTTCATTTAATTTCCCTGCTCCTACTATCGTGCTGTGATGTGTCTGCCAGAGAGCAAGATCATCAGCATAAAGAGTCTTTTCTGATTTCAGCACGTTCGTCACATCATTAAAGAAGATCAGGAACAAAGTGCAACTCAGACAGGAACCTTGAGGTAGGCCTCCCTTGAGTACTTCTCTTGACGAGTGGGCATTGTTTACCTTGGTTTCAATTTTTTCTAAGAAAATGTATGAGATTATATATTCTTTCGGTTTACCGCTGCTTTCAGATTAACTGAGTTTGATTTCAGTAGACTCCACTGTAGTTTGAAATGGTGTCGGCTACCCACTGTCAAGGAGAAAAGTGCTCATCTTAGACAGGTGGATCAGGTGGATGTCTTGGACTGCATTAATATAATGGTGGAAATAAAAAAAACTCAAGAGGAGAAACAGGAAGTGGTTGTTTGTACAGGCGGCCATTAGAGCAGATTCGACTGTTATTATAGAAGAGAGTTACCAGCAGAGTCGTAACCCACAGCCTTGGCCAGCTGGCAGGCTTGTTCTCCCATGGCTCGGCGAGTCGCAGGGTCCAAGAATACACTGGGAACATGGTCACAGGGGTTTTTTGTTTTGTTTTAGTAAGAGTTATACAGCACTTGCAACATAAATAGGTTGTGTAAGTGATGAAATTAGAGGTTATTTTGTTTTTATAATAATAGTACCAATTTTAGGGTGAATGCCGCAAAAATAGGTCATACAAGTGCTGAAGATTAGATGTATTACTAGAGAGCAATATAGAAAGAAAAGAAGTTTCTTTTTAGCAAAGAGTTCTATTGCACTTGCAACAAGATAAACTCGTACAAATGCTGTAGATCAGAGGTGTTGCAAGAGAAAAACAAACACAAAAAAGGAGAAAAGATAAGGACGATAGATGTTTGATAGGAAAGAAAGAGCAAACAACACCAGAGCACCCACCAACCACCCACAGGGACAAGGTCAGAGGGGTTTGTTTATGTGAGTCAAGAACAGCACATCAACACAATAATGGAAATTTAGTGCTGGGCAATGGTGAAAGCAGTGACAGGTTCAAAAACATGAAATCCCAATTAGTCAAATGTCTACGCCTGAAAACTACACATGTTGAGAAACGTCGTCAGATAAACACACACAATATTATGAAATACACACATTCCTTCAAGATACATACATGTAGTACATGTCCGTTCATCAACACATTCTTTTGACAACAATCCATCCAATATCGGGTTCTGGATCCGCAAAACAGCAATGTGTTATTCCTGGATGTTATTTTTTTCACAGAGATACATTAACTAACACTACAAAGTATCTTATCATAATCCCAACTGAGAAACACTTTTTTTAAAGTGTCGTGTCACTGTCACAGTCCACATTTGTACTTTTTAAACTACAACTGAAATATGAAAATAGAAATCTATTCGTTATGTATGAATTTGTAATGGACAAATTCAAGGCTGCACCAAGGAAGATAACCAAGTTGGACAATCAGGCCAAAATTTACATGAATTATGCCCCCCTGATGCAAAACCGGCGTGCCTGATGGATTCATGTCAATTTAATTTCTAAATTTTAATGCTGCAGTCCTCAGTTTTAACTGAAATAATTTGGCTTGACAAAGAAAAAGATATGGCCTTCCCCTTTTGAAATCAACGAAACACTGCCGGTTCAACTGCCCTTTACTTAATCAGTTTATGTCTTTTCGTCCCTGGTACAACACCATTCTTTTCCGGTGGGTTTTTTTTCTTTGGTGCGGAATCCAAACGTCTTGCAGATTGGGTTTTTTATGTATTGATTTGTCATCCACCTCTGCTAGGATCAGCCGTTTGTCCTCAACCGAGGAGCCTTTGTACGTTTCTTTTGCTCCACTATAGTTCACTCTCTACTACAACAACTTCACTTAGACCTAACTGTGCAGAACATCAGCAAGCTGCTGCATAGTACGTAGTCTCTGTTGAAGAGAAAGTGCTGACACTTGTGGTGACAATCGGGCCTTACCGGCTACGTGCCTTCAAAAGCAGACTCTCCACCGCATGTCTAAACCAATTCTGCCACTCTGTGAAATCTAAAAATCAGGATCTCAGGAAAAAAATCGGGATCAACGACAAATCACCAAGATGACTAGCCAGCTGAATTTTTAAAAATTCCAGGGGTGTCCATAAATATATTATATCCATGTATAGGCCCTCTGCGCATGCGTGTGTGTTTTATTATTATTTTTCCCGTAAGCCTCAAAAGACGCTTCATCAACCAGTGTGCATGAACTTATGTTGACCCCGTCAACGGACGGTCCCTGACACACGCCTAACTCGCACGCCGAAGTCATGTCACGTGATGCAAAAGCACGATTGAAAGTTTTACTCACGAGTCTTGATGATGGGCCCGACTAAACAGAACCTGGAGTTGGACACAGCTTGTTTTGAAAGTAACAGCAGAACTATGAATAATATTGATCATTTGTATACCGCAATTGAAACAGTTATCAGGCCATCATCTGAGAATTCTGAGATTACCGGTTCGGTAACAACTAGACTACACCGTAATTAATACGGGGTGTCCAATACGGCTGGATCGGGCCGATCGCCCAACTCGGTCGCTGAAACAAAACAAACACATTTGAGGCGACCGAGTCGGGCGATCCCATTAGTAGTCGGCACCCCGTATAAAGTGAGCAGGCTAGATCTAGGTCTACTGCTGAACATTCCTGTGTCGTATGAAACAAACACGTCCTTGGCCTAGATCAGGCTACACTACTGCTCCCGGCTTGGGCTTATTGAGAGGTCATTGAGGCCTTCTGTCTGTCTGTCTCTCTCTCTCTCCATTGGTAAAATGAAACTCGCGGCTGTATATTATAGGCCTGCATGTAATTTGATCTACCCTCGATGTCGCCAACTTTCTCCCTCGCTAAGTACAAATTGTCAAGTCTTTGTGTGTGTTTTAATATACAGAATAATATAGGCTCCAAGACAACAAAATTCGGGACCTCAATTATGTTTGCTACATCTATTATTCTATGTGCGACTTACATTTCATGAAAGAATGGAATGAATTTCCTTTTTTTGGGGGGGGGAACTAAATCACAATCTTTAAAATTTGACCACGACGTGCTTGTGCTTGTCCAAACGACCCACAAACATGAGCCAAAGTTGTCAAAACCAGCCACAAATTGCAAAGTACAGCTAGACCAGGCCAAATCACACAGCGGTCTTGCTAGATCAATAACATCGCAGTCGTAGTGTTTACCGTGACATAGATCTAATTGGGTTATTTCTGGGCGTGCAACACTCATTTTGGCCAGTAGGGCAAGCTGAGACAGACTAGCAACGTAACCAAATGCAAAGAGCCAGAAACTGTGGATGGGGAGAATGACTACTTCTGAAATTTTTATTAAGTCGACAATTTGTCCCAAACTGAAAAAGTTGGAAAGCTTCTTTTCAAAAGCCGGAAATCCGGCATATGCCGGAAAACTTTCACCCATGGTGCTGGAGAAAGAAAGACAGACAGACAGAAACAAATGGGGGAGAATAAAGAAGAAAAGCCCCCTCTTTCTCTCTCACCTAGGAGCCTCCTCAATGACTTTCTGCATTCTCCTCTGTATAGAACTCTCTCACTCACTCACTCCCTCTCTCACCCACTCTCTGCCTCACTCACTCTCTGCCTCACTCACTCCCTCTCTCACCCACTCTTTCCCTCTCTCCCTCACTCACTCCCTCTCTCACCCACCGTCTCCCTCACTCTCTTTCTCTCTCTTACCTGGGAGCCTCCTCGATGACTTTCTGCATTCTCCTCTGTATGGAACATTCTCTCTCGTTGAGCCAAAGACTGTTGCCTTTTTTATCACACAGTACCTAAGGGAAAAACACAACGCAAAAGAAAATAATAATGAATTCTGTCTTTGAGCAACTGCACTAGTGTCATCATCACTTAAATTTAATGGTGTTATAATTGCATTTGTTGTTGTTGTTGCTGTTATTGAGACGATGATAGTATGGTCATTGTAATGTAAGCAACAGTTACAGTCCAAATTAGTCAAACAAACTTTATAAACAGAAGTACATTGACCAGAAAGGGATCATTTAGCAGTAGGAAAAAGACGCAAAAGTTGTGAAAACAACTGAAACGTAATTGAAGTCTTTAAACCTTAAAAAAAAAAAAAATCCAACACAAACAAAATTAAGTTTCCCCCATTCCCCAATCCTTCCCACATGTCATCTCACCCCCCCAATCATCCATGATCCCCCCTCACCTGTATCTCGATATGCCGGGGGTTCTCGATGTACTTTTCGATCAACATCCTGTCGTCACCGAAGCTGGACTTGGCCTCCTGGGTACACAGTCGGAACGCCAGTCTGGGACACACAGAGAGGGGGGTGTATAGTTGTGGTAGGAGCTTTATAGCACTTACAACATATATAGGAAATGTAAGTGCTAAAGAATGGAGGTGTTATAAGAAAATATCGTTTTAGTAAGAGTTTTATGGCACTAGCAACCCAAATTGATCATGAGTGTTGGCATTAATCTAAAGAGGGTATGTATGCACGCTTATGTACATGTATTTACTGTTAAGACGAATGCGTTGTAAAGAGTCTAGGCCTGTATAGTATAGGAATGCGCGCAATGGAAATTATTGGCATTATCATTATTACTATCATCATTCTTCTTCTTATTATTAACTCTTAAAAAATGGAGCTCCACTCATAACATTAGTCGGTAAATCCCACAACTACGAAAGAACACTGTCAAAATTTATCAGTATATATCTCACGGCGCACCGGCAGTGGAATTTTAGTTGCAGCAGAGGATTCTTCGCCAAGCGCCTTATCAAGTCGGGGTCATGGGGATCAGCTCCCTGTCGCCACTCTGTCTGGGCTGACTTCATTTTTGGTACTTTTCAAAGTACAGTTATAGGTGTATCCTTGTATTTATGGTAATTATCATTTAATGCACCCAAAGCACGCATTTCTGCTCTTGAGACTCAAAAAAGAACGGACATTGTAACTTGTCTGGTTATTTCGTTAGACGCGCTGAAGTCGGCAATGCTAAACAGTAAAAAATTTTCTGACATGTGTGAATGCAAAAAAATCAATATAAAAAAAAAGCACGACAAAAACTGTCGAACTTTTCATACATGAACGCCATAACATTGATGCAGATACTCAAAAAAGATGGTTTCTGCACATACAATAGAAAGCTGTAATTTTGCAACTTTATCCATCTGGCACACAATCCGCTATGAAGTAATTCCTCCAAACACAACTTTATGTGTCTAATAAAATCGTGAATATTCGCATATTTTCTCGAAAGTTTATTGAAATTGCCCTGAAGTCTCTCTATGAAAAAGTACATATCGATTTTAGAACCACACTACATCTACAATGCAATCCACGAATAGTATTTGTTAAACCAGAAATTCCTTTCTTTTCTTACATTAAGTCTAGGTTTTGTAAGTTGGCTTAAAAACAGGGATGACTTCTCGTAATTGGGTTATAAGAATAATTTCTAGCTTTCCAGTGACACTGAATCAGCACCAGACTTTTCTAGCTTTTATTTTCGTTCCAATGACCATTTGCAATAACTGACAATGTTCTGATTTCTTTACATTCATAAGTGTCTGCACATATTTCCAACACAAAAACTAAGAATGAATGTGTTAGCTGTCATTATTTTTATTCCATACAAGAAGTTTATCTCTACCCAATTATTTACACAGTTTTGTGTTTTTTTTAAATCGCATAATATAATATATTTTCTTAGTTGTATGAAGACTGCCACAGACACAGCATGATTCATGAACAAACAAAGTAACTTTCTCTTGTTTGATGGTATAACAAGAGCTAACACTGAGTGTCTTTGGTTAAAAAAAGCAGATGTGCATCTTTCTTCTCTTTAACTTGATTATTACTACTTAAGCAGACATAAGACTTCTCACGGTAAAAGACATGATATTCGTAGTCAGTTTAACATAGATTTTGGAGAGATCTGTCGTGCCGTTTTTAAATAAACAATCATTTATTCATAAGTTTGTAACTAAAACAGGGCAATTGGGTACTCTACAAACACTTGTCTAGAACAAAACGTAAGGTACAGAAATTAACCATTCTAACGCAGAATAAATCGCAAGACATTGAGCTTTTAGTACATCAGTATAATGGTTAGCTGTGTGGGATGGGGAAGAAGTTATATCGTTTCAAACATAGACAAAAATACGAACCTCTTAACCGACACCGGCAAAGTCGCTTCAGGGCTCATTAACCCCATGACCCCGAGCCGGGCAGCTTCAGCGGGCCGCTGAGTTATGCTAATTAAAAGTAACATAATTGGGCAAAAGTGATGCAGTGTTCTCATCTCTTCCACTGTTTCTTCCTAAACCTTTACTCAACAAAGACAAGTCAAACATTTATGACTCCTATTTTAACAGCTTCTGCATGCTTTAGTTTTCGTTTTAGTAAGAGCTTTACGGCACTTGCAACACAACTGGGTCATATAAGAGTCGAAAAGTTCAAGGAAAATGTCCTCAAAATCTCAAGTTCAAAGAGTTAAATTTCCATCAGAAGATGTGATAACTCAGGAGACTACGGCTATGCCTACGACATCTAAAAAGACACACTCAGACATCCCGACTGACCTGGCATCTTCGTCACTGCGAGCCACTCTCATGCCTTTTCCTCCTCCTCCGGCAGAGGCCTTGATCATCACAGGGTAACCTTACAGACAAACATACAAATGTCAGACTAGTAGACACACACACACAAACAAATAAACAAAAAATATCAGATATATAAACACACACCATCAAAGGGTAACCTAAGAGATTTAAAACTTTGTAATAAAAAGGTTCATATAGTAAAAACCGCCGATCGGTGAGATGTGGCGGCAAAGTGTTCAGCAAACAAGTACACACATATCAGACACAGGGTTCCTGCCATTAACTTCCAATCAAATTCAAGGAGATTTCAAGGAGAAACTTTTAAACTTCAAGGAGATTTGGTCAAGAAATTCTCAATGAAAGCCTATTTCCGATAGGCCTACACTTGTCCGAAAGGAACCATATCATAGTTTCGATTTTCCTACAAAACTGTTCCCAGGGTGACTGCCAACCCAGCTTCTCCATTTTCCTGGGGCATGTTACATAACAATGAGGGTGAATGCACCATTTATATATTATATATATTATATACACACACACGGGCGCGCACATGTAGGTACAATATATCCAGACAACAACATGTCAGTGCGGCACTGGGATACAGTGTGACTTAGATATTTCAGTCTGTTCTTACTTATTTATATTTTCCCCTCATCATATTAGCCTACATAAACTATATAAAAATGAATCTTGCTTTGAGCCTGAGAAAAGGCCTAGAACCAGAATACCGACAGTCAATAACCAGTTAGGGTGTCAAGGTTTATATAATAAATGTGAAAGACAAAAATTGTTGCTCAAACTCAAAGTAGAGTAATAACATGAATGGCTCAAGTAGACCTATTCAGTGTGAGAGGTGTAACAACTTTGAAAGGGCAAGACGCAGTGACACTGAAAATCTGCGAATCTTGAACAGAAAGCTAAAATATAGAATATACAATACATGTATTTGACTATCATTCATCCAATGAAACGGGAACCCTTTGGCTAAAAAAACCCACAGCTTACAAGGTAGACTCTATGAGTATGGCGGATCCCGATTCCACACAAGGCCTGCACCAACGCGCACTTTGCAGAGAGCTCTAGATAGGCCCTATTAATCTAGATCTAGTAGTAATCAAAATTCTGAAAAGTAAAATCTGTTTCCAAGTTCAGTTTTTGCCTTCAAACCATCCCCTGCGTGCATCTTTAAAAAAATCAATAATCCCCCCATTCCCGAGTCCTATACTTTGCAGCGCTCAGACTTTGCATGAACTTTGGTGACCTCAACCATCAGCGATACTCACGATGTGATGAAAACGCACAGGTTCACTGACCGGTCACGATGGTAAGCCCGACAAGAAGCTTGTATAACTTTCTTTTTCTTTCTTTTTTTTTTTAAGTGACAGCACAGGACAAATGATTTATTTTCATGGTGACACAGCGTTTGTAATGCAAAACCTGCAAGCTACAAATGAGGCGTTATCAATCTGCTAGGCCCTACCGGTAAATTTCTGGGTGGTAACGAAAATGAAAGTAGACCTTGATTTTCCCGATCGAGCTTCGGTATCGCACATACACTTCCACTTGCCGCCATAACCGCCTGTTCGTGTGTAACGTATTCTCAGGCCGGGAAAAGCCGAATGAATATATCACAATTGCGACCGGCAAAAGGACGTTATCAGATTTGGTTATCAAATATTCAAGAACTTTTATTTATTTTCCCGGGCCTTTCACGGAGCAATATACAGATTTCTTCAAATTCCCGTTGCATTCCGGGTCTTGGCGATTTTTTTCAAATTCCTGGGTAATTCCTGGGGCCCCCGGGATTCCTGGGGCCTGGCAGTCACCCTGTACACGTGTTCCTGTCCGATCTGGCAAAATTCAAGGAGTTTTCAAGGAGATTTTTCCTTGAATGCAAATTCAAGCAGTGTTTAAGGACTCCTTGAATTCAAGGAGGCCCAGTGCTTCCACCAGCTGAAGCTGAAAAGTAAGGAAAATTCTGTCGGGGGTCTGGGGGTCGCATAGCCCCCGGCAGGGTCCAGGGACAGCTTCTCGGTGGGGGGTTCAGGGGGCAAAGCCCCCGAAGAAATTGAAATTTAGCCCTTTTAGAGGGTTGAAAATGGCATTTGGGAGCCTGTTTGAAGAGATTGCCTGCAAACCATAACATATATTTTTTCCCACCAACATTTTGTCTTGTTTGATTTCTTCACCAAGATGTATATAATATCTTTCCATTAATGGCAATGTTTAAAAGCAGGTTAACCTTCCATTGCTACTATAATTCAATTAATTTGGCATCGCACCATTGATAGAAGGCAAACCTGGGAATAAGGAATAGATATGTACTTTCACAATACAGTTACCAGGTGTATACCCTAATTTTCCTTAAATTTCACGCCTGAATGTCGCATGTCACAACCTCGGAACACCACTTCGAATTATTCTTGACTTTAGTAGTTTTTGGCTGGTTTTAGCACAAATTTCTTTCATCGCTGCCCTTATCGCGTTCCCGTGCCGTAGAATCTTCTTATTTATCATTTCTCTAAATCTAGACAAATTTGTAAAAATGTTTTGTTCTGATAGTAATTTTCCGTCTAAGGTCACACAAGTCAATTTACTCGATCAACGCGCAGATTTTCCATCCGCGGCAACAATCCGAAGATAGACAGATGCAATGAGTGAATGATAGAAAGAAGGAAATTGGCACAAAAAATTATACACATTTTGATCAATCCACAGCGCCAGATTTTGATCAATCCACAGGTAAAAATGTACTGCTAATAAGCCCGCAATGAATGCATGGGGCATAGCGGAATAATGGTCGATTGCAGGAAATGCGCAACATGGCAGGTTTCTATAACATTAACTAATTGCCGAAAGAATTACTGTAAATATCCGTAACTTATACTAGTACTAGACCATACGAAGGCGAGTACAGATCTTTTGCCACGGAATTTCGGTAGTCCTACGCTGTCGCAGCTTTTTACAGAGGGAGTTGATAATGATGGAGGAACAAGTACGGAAATGGCAGAAAATACGGATTTCCGTAAAAATACGGAAGAGTGGAAGTGCTGGAGACCGCGGGAACCCTGCAGACAGACACACACACACATCAAATCACAGGGTAACCAATAAGACAGACAAACAAGCACACTAATATGAGAGAGACACTTCAACTTTGTTTAAAATGCTTCCAGAAATAATCAGCTGGTATCAGTTGCATGTGCTTAAGAAATATGTGTGTGTGCCCAAAGAAAGGTACCAAAAGTTGGATTTTGACCATTTTGAGGAAGGGTAGTACCATATAGGAAATTTAATGCTGAACAAAGAGGTCTTTGAATTTTCTAGATATCTCAAGTAGTTTTTTTTTAGATATTGCACATTTTGCAAGGAAGGGCATAAAGATAGAATTTTGAGAAAATTAGCTTTTAAGTGTAGGTCATATAAGTGCCAAAGATCAGAGGCGTTATTAGAGAGTAACATACAAAGAAAAGAAGAAGGAGAGAAAATGACGATAGATGTTTGATGGAAAAGAAAAAGCAAACCACACCAGAGCACAAACCAACCCCTCACAAGATTCCATAAACGGCATATTATGAAGACAGCAAGGCTTCGAAAGGGCTATACATGGGAAAAAAAAATATGTTCCCAAGGTTACCGATGTCGTTGGCCAGTTTAACGCAGTGGTCGGCATCCGTGATGGCACCATCAAAACCTGGGATCATGTTGACGCCAGCCTTCTCCGCGATGCGTTTACTCTCAATCTTGTCCCCCATGGCATGGATGGCTTCACTGTTGGGTCCCACAAACGAGACGCCCAGTACTTTCTGGAGAGCATCAGAAACAAATAAAACCACAATGCCAGTGTCGAGGAGCGGACCAAACTGTGGGACATATCTTTCTGCACTGCAAGACACACACAACCCTGACACAAGAAACATGGCCAACCCTATTGACATTACAAGAGAAACTGTACCGGCTAGGGTTGGGATTATACGGGTAATTTGATACTTGGATTTTACTCGGGTAATGAAAAAAATACGCGAGCGGGTGCCCGACATTTCAATAATCAAATTGTGTTTCTGTACTGCTTTGCCTGTCTGCGATTTCATTTGGGTGTTTTCCCTTCAAATGATTTAAGAGGCTTGAAGTTGAAGACCTGTCAACTTTCATTATGCTTTTGCAGATGTTGCAGGAGGCGCTTTTTTCGTCTTTTATTTTCTCATAGTAATCCTATGCGTATGACCTTCTTTAAAACATCTTGAAAGAAACTGTGCCAAAGTGACAAAGCCAAAGCTATTTAAATCCTTTTACTTCACATAATTCTTTGAAATGTTCCGCTTCTCCGTTGGGATTCTCAGAACTGCACACAAGTTGCTTCCATATAAGGATATTGAAATTAAAACTATAGGCCTTGGCCAAGCCCTACCAAAGTATCCGATCGACTCTTGGAAACATTCTTATGACATGCCCAAATGTGGCCTTTTTTGTTGTCTGCTGTTTTCCAGGACGAGTAGTGGTGGGCACTAGTCTATATTGTCCAATATTGAGTACTGTATCGATTAAGAGAGCTCAGTAGCGATAAGTACTTAGTACTTATTACGGTTCAAATGAAGGGGCGTAATTCAGTGCATTTTCATAGCAATAATGAAGGAAGTAGAAAACTCGGGTACCCAACACCAATACCCCGGTAGCCGGTTTTGAGCTCTTGACCCGGGTACCAGGTACTCATCCAGCCCTAGTACCGGCCAACAGATGAACTGAGTAGGACAGCCCTGTATATGATAGATACCAGACTTCAAGTGTAATGCCACCCAGAAGTAGAATAAGACAACATTAGTCTCAAGCAAAAAAAAACCCCAACCAAACAAAAACAAAACATTACTTTTCCTTGTAAAATTTGAGTTACTACACTGCATCCACGCATTCAAAGCTTCAAAACAACCTGAGAACAAGACTGTGCCTACGTCTAAACTGGCAAAAAGTGAGTTTTTCAAATTTATAAATAGAGCAGACTTAGGTGGAGACAACTGTACAGTTTTACACGCAACAATGAAACAAAGTTTGAGGACTAATTCTAAAACTCCAAAAAAAATTGTTAAATATAAAAAAAACACCCAAAAAACATACCAACTCCGCCGCAAACTGTGTGTTTTCTGAGAGGAAACCGTAGCCTGGGTGCACCTGGAAAAGACAGAAACAGGCAGAGCTGTTTAAGTACTTTTTGAGGTACTTAAGCAAAAATTTAAGTACAATCTAAAAAATGAACTGCAGTATTAAGTACTTTCCTGTAAAATGTACTTGAGTACAAGTACTTTTTAAAAAAGTACTTATGAGTACATTTTGAGTACATTCTGCTAATATGCTAAAATACTTCAGTGTTTATGCAAAACATCATATTGAATAACAGATCCAGTATATTTGACAAATTAGGCTGAACGTAGGTGGAAATGTTTCGAGAAATTGAAAAAAAAAACCCAAACAAACAGACGCAACTAGTGAGTAAGTGATATTATGAATGGAACTTGCTTGAGCAAGACAATGTGATCAAATGTAAGTCAGTCCAGGAGGTCGAAAAGTTCTACAAGAAAAGTATCCAAATTGGAAAATGTAGAGACAAAGTTGTTCTTAAGAAAACATAAAATTGATGAAAATGGAGGGCAAAGAAATGGAAAGGTGCATTGAATTCTTCATTAACAAATCCTCAAGGAATCAATGTAGCCTTAAGTAAAAATCACTTTAAAAAAGGTTAAAACAAATTTAGGTAGCCTAAAAAATTGTTAGATATACATTGAGAACTCAGTTTCAGTTTCAATTGATTATGGTGGTAAGACAGATTTTGGTCGCACTGTATAGTCCACGATGCCCACGGCAAACCAAAATACATGTACATGTAGTTTCATAGAGTCTAGTAAGTGTAGTGTAACCAAAGATTCTCTACTACAGTACCCTCCGCCTAAGAGGAGCTTGGGAGCAAGGAAAATACAGGATCATAGCCGACGAAGCCGAGGTGGAATCTACAATGACCCATGAACTGGGTGGGTTTATGACATATGGCGAGCAAAGAGTGGTCAACCTTGATGACCAATCACAGTGGCATGAGGCATGCCATAAACACTCATTATCCTATCGTGAGTCTCGAGATCTTGATCTACGATTATCCAGTTTGCCGCTCCCTTTTACCTGTCCAAAAATTTTAGCTTGCCATATCTGATTAAGTTCCTCGCCTATGTCGTTACGCACCATTACGTTGTGACCACATCAATTAAAATTCAGGCTGTCTCGCAAATTCGGGAATATAGAAAAACTGCCTTCAAAGGTCAGGGAAGAGTTCACAGTTCCACGTAATCCTGCCTGGAGTGAACTTGTAGGCCCAACCCATCCAGCAAGTGATGTAAGTTTAGGTGGCAAGCTCATATGCGAGAGCGATGTTTGGGGAAAACAAACGCATCGGTCAGTTCACACCTCGGTGTGACCCCGTCTGGGGCAAACATTCAACACTAAGGTGGAAATATAAGAAAATATGAATAACAAATGATTTGATCTATTTGTTGGTACTTCACATCCAAGATTTTAAGCGTCTTAGCCAAGTAACTTATTAAGTGACCCAAAAGGAGTAAAATGCCTGAGAATAGGTACACCAAGTAAGCAAAGGTCATAAACCAATATTTACATTTTCAGAAAGTAGAATGTCAGTAGAAAGTAGAGCTCATTTGTGAAAGAGTTGAAATGTTTGGCGGTATATAAAAAACCAGGATAAATGAACCAACAATACCACTCAAATTCATCATCATCATCATGTGCCAGATCTGCTAACGACATCGGCAATCATTCATTCCTTTGCTCGGATGCTCTTAAAAAAGCTGCATTATCCTGATCTTTCCCCATTACCCATCTGTTTAGGCTCTCCAGGTACGTTGCTCTTGGCCTACTCCTGCCAGGACTTTAATTTTGCCACTGAGAGCTAAATGTTCAAGGCCTTGCAACTCAAATTACAGCTGTTTAAATCTTCCACAACACCAAAGAACAAAACTTACAGTAAATTTAACGGGCTATTGTGACTCTTGGGGGGTCAACTACACACATACCGCCTGAGCACCGCTCTCCTTCACAGCCTCCAGAATCTTGTCCATGCGGAGGTAACTTTCGCTGGTGGGGGCCGGCCCGATGCAGATGGCCTCGTCAGCCATACGGGTGTGCACCTGTCCAGGGAACAAGTGGGAAAGGATAGTTTTAGTAGGTTTTAGTAAGAGTTTAATATGGTACTTGCAACACAATATAAGTGCCGAAGATTAAAGGTGTTACTAAAGAGTAACATACAAAGAAACTTGACAGCCAAAAAAGAAGAAGAAGAAGCAGCAGAAGAAAAAGAAGAAGAAAAAACATCTTTAAAAAAAAGAAGAAAATTCACTGTGAAAAAATATTAGAAAAGAGGAGATCACACCAGTGCAACCACAAAGTACAGTCGAACCTGTGTAAGACAGCCACCCATTGTCAGGGAGCCTTTCTGAGGTCACCGCATTGTTGTTGTTGTTGTTGCTTTCACTGGGGTTTTTTCTTCCTTTTTAAAATTTTGTTGCTGCTTTTGTGCAAGGGTGACAATAAAACGAAATGTGTCAGACAATGAGGACAGAGTGCCATGGTAAAACAAACATATGTGTAGCCACAACTCGGAGAACGATTGACGCTTCTGTCACAAGTTCATGTCGACGTCCTTTGTTACAGACTGGGCAAACAGTGACCACTCATCTCACTTCAGATTTGTGTACGAGTTCTGGGGCTTATAGGTTATGAGGGATCACACGCTTACTTCACCAGCAGCTGAAAATTTGTTACTTATTGGTCAATGGTGGGAGGGTCCTACGCAACATGACTGGTTGGAGGGACTACCTTACAACAAAGACAGGTGATTGGATTATGATGGAGCCGTCAACGCCAGGGGCCAATGCATCATTTATGACAAAATGTAATGGAGTCACTAAGGTGGCCATCTAAGACAGGTGTTATTGCTTGGTGTGATAGGGATTGTGTGTTAAAATATGGTGGCCGTGGCCACGTTGAACAGGAGCCCGTTTTACACAGTTAAATTACATAGAAAAAAAACGCAAGGGGGGAAATAGAAAGAGGCCGTTTGTACAGGTGGTCGTCTTATAGAGGTGGCCGTCATGGCAGGTTAGACTGTACCAGCACAAGATAAACCACAGCATGGTGTAAAAGAATCGGGGCACCATAAAATATCAGCACGGTGTTCAGAAAGCAAAATATTTTAGGAAAGGAAAAAAACAAAACCTTTTTCATTCTTTTAACATAACCTGTTATTTTATGTATATCATTTCTTGCTTTTTTTCAACATTTAGAAATCAAATATTTTTAAAAACATTTTTGTGCAAGTGCAGTACATACTACAGACAAATTGAAAAATTGAAAACAAACAACAAAAAAAGAAAGAAAAATTAACTTTGGATTTAATACACATCTGACCAGCTGGCCAAAAATAAGATATAAAATGTAAAATCTCTGACAACGATGACAGGAAATGCCTGACCCCCTCGTCCTGTGACTCACCGCTAAGGAGTCGGCCGAGCTGTGCACAGCAACTGTCTTGATGCCCAGACGTTGACATGTCTTGATGACTCGACACGCAATTTCTCCGCGGTTGGCAATCAGGATCTTGTCAAATTTCTGTGAAGTGGGAGAATATATTATAGAAAATAAAGAAAGGCAAATTATAAAGACTAACAATGACAAACTTTAGTCTATGTTGATTCAGTTTAGTTTAGTAAGAGTTTTACAGCACTCGTGACTGAATTGTTGATATTGAAGTTGCCAGCATGAGTTTGAAGTTTGAAATATCAAGAGGCACATTATGAGGTGACCCCTCCCTCCCCCAAACAAAAAGCATATATCATGACTCGATGGAATCAGGGGCTCATCAATTTTTGGGTATATGAAATTATTGGTGTAGTCTAACAGTTTGCTTGATTTGTCATATTTTCTATTTAAAAAAAGAAGTGGCAATCTATTTCTAATAGAAACGTCAATATATTTGCGATTGAAGGAGGTGGGAGTTGCTTGGTGTCAGAGGTAAAAAGTAGCTAAAAAATGGCTGCTAAAGTTTGATGACTTCCAAAGCATGAGTCTTTCAAAGCTGCAAATTTACATTGTGTGTGCCTTTGATCAAGGTATTTTGGTAAAAATCTACACTGAAATATTAACATTGACAAAAAAGGTGTGGAGCCAGAAAAAAATTGATGAAAATTGCCTGATTGGCAGAAAAATGTGTTATTTCCATTTAATTATTTTGACGAGTGCCAGATTTCATCACAATGCCTCACATATATTATCCTTGCAAATATTAAAGAAAAACGCATTTCTACGACACTCTGTTTGACATATTAAGTTTTATACATACAGAAATGAAAGCAATCGTGTATGCACTGAAATAAAAATGTGACTGAAATGATTTCATGAGTTAAAAAAAATATTAACAGGTAAAATATGCATTACAAACAAAACAAAATACAACAAAAAGCATTTTTTTTCCTTCCTATGTTTTTAAAATATCTGCTGGTATTGCTTCAATGGTGATTAAATTTTGTGGGAGTGAGCTTGTAATCTAATTAACAATATCCTGACAAAACTTTACCTTTTTATGTTTATTAAAGAAAAACATTTTAGCCTAATGATGTATTTGTCCTGCTATTAAAAAAACAAAAAACAAACAAAACAAATCAAAACTAAACAGAAACTTAGTTCAAATCATCCCTCAAAAAACAGAAAAAAGGATTCAAACATAAGGTACACTTATGGTGCTGAATTTTCCTGTGTAAAGTAAAGCCACATAACTAAAAACAATTTAAATCTTACTGCACAAAGGAAGAACAAGATAAAAGAGTGTCTTTATTTCATGGATAATTTAAAAGTGACTCAAATCTATTTCATACAAAATTTGTAAACAAATCGGAAAATAATATCCACACATCTTTTTTTAATTTTTACTATACAGCTGAAATTATCCAAGAAGGCCACCCATTGTCAAGGAGAAAAGTGGTCATGGAAGACAGGTGCACATCTTGGACAGTCATTATTCATTATAAAATATATATTGTTTTAAAAAGTAAGGAAACAAATGGCCATTAGAGCAGGTTTGACTATTGCATACAGAGACGTATATGGCTCAAACAGACTGGTTGAAATGGGGTTTTTTTATTGCACATGATGAGAGCAAAAACAATCAAAGGACTCACAGTCTCTTCAGGCATGCAGCGGTCGTTCCAGTACTGTTCTCGGTCGTAGAGCTTCATAGTTGTGTACAAGCTGCGAGTCTGTCCACACACACGAAGAGAGTTGTGAAAATCCTGGCAAAGACACATTGACAATACATATATATATATATAACATATTTGTGAGGCATCGTGGTGAAATCAGGCGCTCGTCAAAATAATGAAATTGAATAAAAAGGCATTTTTCCACCAGTTTAGCAATTTTTATTGAAATTTTGTTTTTTGGCTAAACACATGCTATGTTCATAAAAAACACACTTACATGTGAATTTTAATGAAAAACCTTGTTTAAAGGCACAAAATATGCAATTTTTAGTTTTCAAGGACTTTTAAGCTATTGAAGTTACCAAACGTTGGTGACCATTTTGTCATCATTAATTTAACCACTGAAACCAGGCTACCCCACTGTCTTCAATCTCAAATATCTCAACTTCTATTCAAGCTAGATGGATATTTTTTTCATTGAAAGCAAGGAAAATGAATAAGCTTTCAGATTATACCAATAACTCCACATGCCCAAAAATTGATGAGTGCCTGATTCCACTGTGTCATGACACATAGAATCTATATATATGAAACAAAAAGCTGACATATAGACAAAGAGCAAAGCACTAAACAAATCATCGAAAACTTGTTCAAATGTTGTTTCCCGTTTTTTCAATTTTTCGCCACATTGCTTCTTCTACATTTAGAATTTGAATTTTGTTTAAATATTTCGTGAGCACATGCAACTTATACTTTTTATTTTTTTAAATGATAGAAAAAAGGTTCAAAACTTTGGGCTTCTTACATCAGAACAGCAGGCCAAAAAAATATTTATTCCACAACAAAGCCTTGTAATGAACAGTTACAGCTGATGCATAGAAAAAAAATACTGTGGTAGAATCAGAGCTGCCTGCACCACTCACTTTAACCCTTCTGTAACTTAACTGTTTATCAACTTTTGCAGTGCCTAATCTTTGCTATCTGCAATAGTTTGTAGTCTCAGTCATTTTTGCAGTCCCTTTCAAGATTAAAGATTTATACCCTACATACATACATTTTCGTTATCACAGATTTCAAATTTCATTAATCTTCCGGTAAAATACTTTAAAAGGTATTGTTACAACAGTTATAAAAAATTGTATAATCGTGCACTTATTAAGGACGTACATTGTACGGGAGGATAGCATCTTGGCTCATGACATTCAAAATATGTGTGTTTGTGAGTGTGTGCGTGCGCGCGTGTGTGAGAGGGAGCTGTTATGAAGGGGTTTGATATGCTGCTATGCCAGCAGCTGTCCTTTGGCCTTACATCATAATGTTATATATGACAGAGACAAACTCAGCCAGTCTATACAAATTAACATCACAGGGCCGATGGTTAAACATAAAAATTGGTCAAGCCATGTTGGAGAAAGCTTTTAGAATGAAGGCCACCTTGGGGTAAGTTCAAATTTTAGTAAGGGTTTTAAGGCACTTGCAACACTTGTAAGTAGGTCACAGAAGAGCTGAAAAGTAAAGAGGTGTTATTAGAGAGTAACAAACAAAGAAAACCAGGACAGGAGATAAGGATAAGTACAACAGAAGATAGGAAAAGGGGAACAAACCCTACTAGAGCACCCACCGGCCATCCACCACTGTGGTGTGTCTTGTTTACAAGTTGTAGTTTAAGTTTTACTACACTTGTAACACAAGTAGGTTAGTAGGTCATATAAGGGCTGAAGATTAGAGGGGTAAAGAACAAAGAAAAGCAGGAGGAGAGGATGATAGATGTTTTATGAAAGAAAAAAAGGAACAAACCACACCAGAGCATCCACCTACCAACCACCCACCACTGTGGTGTGTCTTTGAGGAAAGCATGATAATCACAGAACAAAAAAGGGTTCCATACATCATAAGACACTTGTGAAATCATGTGTAGAAATAGTAAGTCAAAGAAGAATGGTATTTAATTTACATGGTGAGATCACCATCACTGCCTCACTCTTGCTGGATCAGGGTTTAGATCAAGACCAAAAACTTTTCAGCTTTCCCACTCCTGGGCTAGCCTTTTGATTTTATTCCATGTTTTTAAACTGTTCTATAAAAGTGTTGAGATACTTGATACTTAAATATAACATGACACACATTTTGTGAAATATTTTATCAAATATATTATATCCAGGGCCATTGCAACTAAGATTTAGATTCCTGATGGGGAAGAATTGATAGAGACCTCAATTTCTTCTTCAAACCAAAGGTGGAATGGAAGATTGTTAAAGATGTAAAAAACAAGAACGGCAAATTAGAGATCGATATAAAAATTGTCAAAACAATTCAGCATTCTTCTCTTTTCATTCTTCCCCTTTCCCTTCTATCATCCTTCGTTGTATGTTGTCTTCCCCTCACTAACAAAATATGTAGCTAATAATTTAACCACTAGCTCCTGGAGATTTGTCCTGATGTATATCTCGAAATTCTGGAAAAGGGAATAAAGTCTTTCTCAATTGTATCCATGCTATTTTTAATCAAAAAACAGGTTTATCTTAAAAAAATCAGCCAATATAAAATGTGCATAGCCTGACACAAAATCTGCAAAATCAAGGGTCGCTCCTCCCCTTAAAGTTCGAGTTGCACCGTCTTGTTATTGTTATCCAAGCGTCTTTCAACTTAAACTTGCTCAAACTCAAATGATTTATGAGAGATGAACAAGACGTCTACTTTTGTGCAAACAATGTCAGACACAATTGTTAGATCTAATCTAAATCTAGATCTAGATGTACCCATGTTGATCGGAATTGGCAACGTCATAAAAAAAGGAGTCAAATCCTAGATCTAGGAGGTTTATAAAAAAACTGAGAAATCTTCCACAATTCAGGCAGAACTACAATATATATATTATCATGTAGAAACGATGACTACTAGATCTACATCTAGACTAGATCTAGATTCTAGTAGGCTACTGGTGTTTCAAATAGCACGGGAGCTATTCAGAACGCGGCGTTGCAAATAGCACGGGAGCTATTCAGAACGCGGCGTTGCAAATAACACAAGGCTTGCCATAAAACATAAATACCAAATATTTAAATCGGGAGGACTTCCGTAACGAGCGACCACTATGAGACAGAGCAGAATTGAGGTAGGGTTAGGGGTAGGGTTAGGGTTTGGGGTAGGGTAAGGGTAGCGTAAGGCCTCTTCGTTATTGTGTTTGATGGGGTGGTCGCTCGTTACGGAAGTCCTTCCTTTAAATCAGTATCGATATCCAGTAGTCTTTGCTTGTGTGGTTTAGTGCTAGATCTAACGGGACTGCAATTGTACAGGGGTGCCGAACGGACATTTATATATGCTAGACTCAATTCAGAGTCCTAATTTATAATCTTTGTCTATTCGGACTCAAGTCCAAATAGTCAGTTCGTCATTATACGCCTAGA